TTTGAAGAAGGCCTGAGAGCTGTTCACAGATATTCCTGTTTTCTCTTCCAGACACGTGGAATGCACATATGATAGGATCACTTTTTCCTGCCCCCTTTTAGGTTAGGTGTGGCCATGTGCCTGACTCTGGCTAATAAAATGCGATAAGTGACATATGTTACCCCTGGGTTGAAGTTTAAAACCCAGTATATAATTTGCTGAGTGACTTTCTCCCTGTCATGGTGATTAAGCAAGCATGTACTGAGATAGAGCCTCTGCTACTAAGATGTGTGACTAAGTATCACATATCCTGTGACTAAGATGAAGAGAACCCTTTGCTAATCTACGATGGACAAGGAGCTTGAATAAGACATAGACTCTTACGTTGTGTTAAAGCACTGAGACTTTGGGGTTGTTTGTTAGTGCTGCTTAACCTAAACTATCCTGACCAAATACACTGTCATCCCAGTCACTGGGAAGACAGCAGTGAATCAGACTAAGAAAATGCCTGCCCTTATGGAGTTTCTCAGACTTGAATGCAATATTCAAACTATTCCATGCAAACAAACTATTAAGAAGAAGCCAAAATGGATGGTAAGAGTTTATCATCTCTTTCTGCCTCCTATAGTGAGAGCTTTGAAACATTACAAATGAGTCAAAATAGAGAAAGCTAAAGAAGAAGCATCCATAATATGGCCTCGTCTTATATAACTCTCACTACCTCTCAAAATGCATGACACAGGTAAACAATACAGGAATCACATCATAAAGAAAAACAAAAGGAGCGTGAAGAGGGCTGAACCTGAGCATCAGGAGACCGGAGAGAATTTACTCTGGTTGTGCCACTAAGTGGCTGTGTAATTCTGGCCAGTGTGATGAGTTGTCAGTCTTCAGAGTCCCTTAATACTTGGAAATAAGGCAATATGATCTCCCTTGCTAAGAGGTAAACTGTATGATGGACCTAAGCATCCATTCATTCATTTATTGGTTCTTCCAACTGACAAATAATTATGGACCATCTACCATGTATCAGTGAATATAGTGCACAGTGACACAGGATGAACAAGACAGACAAGGTCCTGCTCTCATGGAGCCTACATTTATTATGGGAGATAATGAATCATTAAAGAGGTTAATCTTATAGTGCAGATAGTGATAAGTGCTTTGAAACAAACAGATACGATCAGGGTGATGGGGGAATGGTACTTTAGATTGGATGGTCATGGAAGGCATCCCTGTGGAGGTGATGCTGAATTTGGAAACACAACTGACAAGAAGGAATCAACCCTGTGAGGATCTGAAGGATGGCAAGTGCAAAGGCACTGAGGCATGGTAGAAGAGCATAAAGAACTCAGAGAAGAGTGGTAGGAAGTTAGTCAGAGAGAGAGGGGTCAAATCGCAGAGGCTCTTACAGGCAATAAGAAATTTGCAAGCTCACGGATACTTTGAAACAGAAGAGTGACAATTTAATTTACCACTTATGTTTTAAAAGATCATCCCAGGAGGCAGTTGGATGGCTCAGTTGGTTAGAGCAAGGGCTCTTAACAACAAGGTTGCCAGTTCAACTTCCACATGGGATGGTGGGCTGCACCCCCGCCCCCCGCAACTGGGTTGAAAATACCGACTGGACTTGGAGATGAGCTGCGCTGTCCACAACTAAGATCGAAGGACAACAACTTGACTTGGAGCTGATGGGTCCTAGAAAAAACACACAGTTACCTGATAAAAATAAAAATAAAAAAATCATCCCAACTGCCATGTGGAAGGGAATCCGTTTGAAGGCAATTTCAATATGTAGATAAGGGATTGGACAGGTGGCACCAGAAAAAGGCGCAAAAAAGGTCACAGTTGGATATGGGTGACAGGGTTCAGAGCATGCTACCCAAAAATATTCCGCTTTGGAATACTGAATATTTTAAGCGGAAGGATTTGAGGAAAAAGGCGGATATAAGAAAGTCTCTCTGACCTGCTCCCACCCACCTCACTTGAAGCATGGGAAGAATCGTGTTTTGATGCATACAACAAGAGCGGAACTCGAGAGAATAATTTCAAAACTTAAGGAAAGCATCAGCCTTTTATAAAAGCTCTGCCCAAGCAACCTGAGAAACTCTTTCTTTTAGGAGATGAACCATATCAAACGCCTCCTGAGCTCTCCACGTGCACTTTAAAGCTTATCTTTGATGGAAAGGAAATCTCACTTAACCCAGTCCAAGTTCTAGTCTTTTTGTTGCTGTTACTGTCAATTGTTTTCCCTTAGGGGAGAGAAGGGAATTTTATGTGTATATTTGCTTTTTTTGTTTGTTTGTTTGTTTGTTTGTTTTGTTTCTGAAGCGTAACTGTGACAAGTGACAGGAACTAAAGAGAGGAATCCAGCCTGACTTGGAGTAAGGAGGGCTGGGACCCAGAGACAGAAAGGACTTGTTTGCTTAGGGGCGGGTTTTATTGACATGGCAATAAGAACAAAGGCAGGAGGGGAACCTGAGCCAACTGAAAATGAAATAACAAGAAGACAAACTTGTACTGTAAAATAAGAAAAACTTTGCGAATGGAAAAGGCTATCTAAAGACTTGGCCTGAGAAAGAGGACAGCACCCTGGTAGAAAGGAGATTGAACAGTTTACCTTTCAAGGAAGGAGGAACTGGTTGTAGAAAGCAAAGCTGCCTGGCACTGAAATCATGGAATTGACAGGGGGACAACTATCTGAGATACAACACTGAAATCAGGAACATTGTCCACACCGCAGTAGTAAGTCAGGACAGAGTACTCATAGGGGGATGACTAGTCCACTACATCCATGGTTATTGGTACTAGCTCAAGCAATTCTGCACACCTATTTTTCACACATCCTATGGAGCTTAGTACAAGTAACCAAACTATAATAATAACCCTAGAACTATTTTATGAAAACCCAGAAAAAAAAGATTGTTAAGGAATTTGTGCTTGGCATGATTATATTTATTTCTCACCGAAGCAATATTTTTTCAAACATTTACCCATTTTAAAACACCGTAATAGGGAACGTTTCTGTGTTCATGTCCTACTGCTATTGCAATACATTACCACAAACTTGGTGGCATGAAACAACACAAATTTTTTCTATTCCAGTACAGGAGGTCAGAAGTCTGAATCCAGTCTCACTGGACTAAAATCAGGTGCCAGCAGGACTGCATTCCTTCTGGAGGCTCAAACCTGGTTCCTCGCCTTTCCCAGCTTCTAGAGGCTGCCCACATTCTTTGGCCCATGGCCGCCTTCCACCTTCAAAGCCAGTAAGTCTTCCTCATGCTGCATCACTCTGCCACTGGCCCTTCTTCTGCCTCCTTTTTCCATGTGCAAGGATTTTGTGTTTACATTGGGTCCACCCAGATAACCCAAAATAATCTCCCTATTTTAAAGTCAGCTAGGTAGCAAACAATCTTAACTCCATGTGCAACTTTAATCCCGCTTTTCCATGTAATATATTCACAGGTTCCGAGGATATCTTTTGGGGACCATTAATCTGCCTACCACAACTTTAACCAAAGTTAAATTACAGTGGGCAAGATGGACATTTAGTCTGTCAACAGTGCTGTAATCTTAGACTTGTTTAGCGCCTTTATAGACACATTACACATTCTTCTATATGCCTGAAAGGTAAATTTGGTACATAAAGCATGACCAAATAAGATGGTATGCCTTTTTGTGGAATTCTTGGCTGGGGGGCTTAGGGAGCTTTGCAGTAGCTTTCAGATTCTGACAGCTGAAAAAGAAATATATATAACAACTACTGAAATATAGTTACTGTCTCTTGTTGGGAAGAGGAACAATATCCTAAAATCATTACTTTTGTCAAAACACCAACTGTTTACCAGATACTGGAAAAAGCTGAGCATTTAATGTTTTTTAAAAACATTTGGTAGAGGAAATTTATTTTTTTTTATTTTAGTTCAAGATAATGGAAAGGGTGGCAGTGATGAAAAAGGTAGTTTTACTTCCAACTTTTAATAAAAAAAAAAAAAGAAGCAAATACATTTGCACAGTGATAGCCACAGAGGTATTTTAAGTAGGAAAAACATTTTTTTTCATTTAATTTTACTCTTTTCTTACAGATGTGTTCCAAACAAGCTATGGTTCTCTTGGCAAAACAGCCCCATCAAGTCTCACCAACCTCTCTCTTGGGGTACACTGAGACTCAGACAAGAGGGGAAAAAAAATGAGGCTAGACACCTGTCTCCAGTGGGAAAAGGAAGAACACACCTGGGGAGCAGCTCAGACAAAGGGAAAAACAGTAATTGGAGAGAGAGACTGTTTCCAGTCTGTTGCTGGTTTGTAAGGTAAATGTATTCCTGGAGGAAAGGGCTACAGTAGCAGCACAAGAAAAACTGGGACAAGGCGAGGCTGTGCCAGATTGTATCTCCTTCAAGGCTCCGCTCTGATGACAGTCCTTTCAGGAAGTTTTTCCAGTATGACCTGAGCCCAGTTGGGATCAAGTGACCCACCTGACATTGCCAGACATCCTGTGCGCATCTCATTAATGCATTCATTCATTCATTTATTCATATTGAGCACCTAACACGCCCTAAGCGCTGGAGATAGACAAGGAAACAAGGCATAATAGCACTTATGGCATTTATTTTCATTTGTGTTGGCTTTCTGCCTCTTCCACAGCAGCTTCTAGGAAGGAGCCCTATTTCATTTTTGCATCCTCAGTGTCTAGCGCAGTGCCTGGCATTGGCTAGGTGCTTAATGAACGAAGGAAGGACTTAAAAGTATACTTTTGATAGGGGGCTATGTTCTCAAACCTGTAGCCCTATTTGGATGACTGGGGCTGACCGGTACACACGAAGAGAACCGGCAAGCATCTTTATTCGGAGTGCATACAGCAATCGGGTTTCCCTATGTGGCTGCTAGTACTGAAGTAAGTTAGAGTTCGGGAGTCCAGGGAGGGAAGAGGAAGGCCTTCTCCTTCCCGCGTGCAGGAGGGCTGGGATTGGGGGACCCAAGGAGGGGGTTCTCGCCAGCCCGCCAGCGCTCGCGCTCCTCACCAGGTCAATGGCTACGATGTCCCGCAGCGCCACGACTCGCCGGATGGACTTGGGCGGGTTCTCAGTCAGGTAGATGAGCCGGTCGCTGAGGACCACGTACTTTAAGGTGTGCTTCTCGGATTCGGACGCCACAATGCACGGCTCGTAGGCGCGGATGGCATCGTAGACCTCCGAGGCCAGGTGCCTCCGCAGGAACGCGTCCAGGCGGCTGTTCGTGCGCGCAGGGAAGCCGGACCCCGCCGGGATGGCCATGCGGGGCACCCGCGGCCGGGCCGAGTGCCGGGGTCGGTGGACGCCTGCACCACGCCCTGTCTCCGCGCCGCCTGTGGTGGAACCCGCGCGCGCCACAAAGCCGGCCGCACCGCCGCTGCCACCTCGCAGTGGCGCGGGGGCCCGAGCCCCCAACTTTGGAACCCGACTCCCGGGGTTGGCTCCCTGAGCCCCCCGCCTGGCCCCGCCCCCCAATCCTCGCCCAACCTCCGACTACAGTGGGCGGGTGAGACTCTGATCCTTCTGGTTAGTCACTGCCAAGTACCCGGGGGCTGCGTGGCGGAGATCCTGAGGAGCTCGCCCAGCCCGCCCCGACGCCAGTCTACCCTAACTAGGGCGGAATACGCCATTCCTTGCAAACTGTATTGAAGCCGCAGTTTTAATATGGTTTTCTGTTAGAAACTTGAAGGAGATGGGATTTACCAATTTGCTTTTAGATACGAAGAACAATCTTAGAACCCTATTAAGACCCATCACAAAGATTTAGCATTTGATTATAACGTTGCCTGGAATAGATCTCTAATTTTAATGAATATAAATGTAGGTCTTCTTTCTCCAACTAGCTAAAAGCTCTCCGAGAGAAGGGAATTTTATCATAAATTGATTTGGACACACCCAAGACTACCTAATGGATGTGCTTGTGGGTCCCAATGCTCAGGGCAAGGCTTTGTAGACTGTCGGAGCGCATTCTGTGTAGGACGAATGAGTGGGTGAGGCCTGCACCCAGAAAAATTGAAGCTTATAGGTTGAGGAATGCTGATTGTGCAGCCTTGAGGCTGCAGGGTAAAAAAAGTGTTGCTTAGATTTGACAACAGCAGTAACTTACTATAGATTAGAGAGATGAGAAGAGTACAACAGAAACTTGCTTCCAATTATCCTAGGTGAGAACTTTCCTTTTAATTTCTTGTCATATAAAAGTCATTCTCCATCCCCATTCACCAAAGACCTAGTAATGAAAAGAACTATATATATATTTTTTTTCTTTCAGCTACCTGTAACCCAGAATCAGATAATATTCTTTGTTGCAAGTCATATTCTTCTTTTCTTCATATATTACTGTTGTATACTGTATGTTGTAAGCAATTTCAAATCCTTTTTGGAAAGAGGGTATAAATAAATTAAAAAGCATGAACAGATATTGTAGACTAAACGGCTACAAAAGGGAACTGAGGAGAAATGTCTGGGTGTGGATAAACAAGTCGAGGAACTCAATAGCAAAGAATTAGGAACAGTATTTTCTTGGAGAGACTATTTGGTGAGTAAGGAGCGCAGTGCCACCTGCTGACAAAATCTTAAATGACCTAGTATGTAAAGTTTTAGAATCTGATCATACATCTGACTCTTCATAACTTCGTAACTGGATGAAAAGTGAGCCCCAGAGGCATGACTATTTCTTCTAAAATAAAGACTATTCCCTATTTAAACCACTTGAGACCGAGTTTTTGCCTCAAACCAACAGAAGGCAAAGGCCCTTTACCTTTGCCAAATAGCTACTCCTCAGAAGAGCTGTTGAGAGGCAAATGGCTCCATCAGAGGTAGAACGTGAGGCCCAAGTACCGGAAAAGGCCTCACTCCAGGCCGCTATAGGTGTTGCGCAGGCTTCCTGTCCCGTACCCAGGACTAAGAGAAACAGAATGACTGGTCATTCTGAACATTCCAGAAAAAACAGCATACCTGATCTGTCTGCCCAGAAGCCCATCACAAATGAGCTTTCAGTGACAAGGGCACCAGGCTTAACAAATGTTGAGAGGAAGCACGTGAAGAAGGAAATTTGACAAAGGGATGGATGGCTAAAGTGACCTCCATTAAACTTTTAATTTTGTGCACAGAGAAGGTAGTAACATGGTTTCCAGGCACTCAGTGTTCTGCACTGTTGCCAAGGTAACAGCAAAATTCAGATTGCAGGAAAGGAGTTTAATACAGGAGAAAAATCACTGGATTTGGAGTCAGGAGAACTGGATTAGAGTGCTAACCCTGCTACTGTTTGGATGTTTGGAAAGTCACAACATTTTTGAGACTCTAAAATGCAATTTCTAATATTTGTCCTGCCAACCAGAGTTGATGTATGGAGCAAAGGGAATGGATTATGAATTGTAAAAGCACTATAGACATGGAAACTATCCATAGTCCCTTATTTTTTGGTAAACTTTATGTGGACAGTTCACATAAATATACCCCAGACAGGCACCTACTCCTTATTTTATAAGTCTCTCCAAACTCAAAAAGCATTTCATTTCATATGGATCCTGTGTAATCAAGCACTGAATAGGTGTGTGGTTTTTTTGTTTGTTTGTTTTTAGAAATTTTATTGGGGAACAGTGTGTTTTTCCAGGATCCCTCAGCTCCAAGTCAAGTAGTTGTCTTCAATCTAGTTGTGGAGAATGCAGCTTATTGGTTCATATAGAAATCGAACTGGCAATCTTGGTGTTATGAGCCTGCGCTCTAACCACCTGAGCTAATGGGCCGCCCTAATAGATGTTTCTTGCTAAAACTATAAAAAAAAAAAAAGGAACATTACTTACCTGGAACTAATAATCTCCAAAGGCACTTTCCTTAACCAGGAGAACTTTCACCAGAAGAACAGAGTAGCCTTAGGTTGAAGAACGGTCAATTCAATTAGTTTGAAAGGACAGTTGTTATGAGCACAGGAATATAGAACAAATTCCAGTTCTCACACTCAGTAGCTAAATGACCTTGGACAAGTTACTTTAATCTCTCAGTTTCCCCATCTGTAATGGGGTAATAGTACTATCCCCATAGAGTTATTATGAGAATTAATGTTTCTAAAGTCCTTAGAAAAGGTACACGAGTACAGAGTATACCTGAGTATAAACTCCATATAAGTGTTTTAAAAATAAATTGAACAAATATATGATTTCCTGGTACATAGATAGTCATTCAGTTCCCCGTTACAAAGTAATATCAAATTCTTCTTTGTTAGATGCTAGCCTAACTTTTTAAATTTTAGATTAAGACTCAAGACAAAAATCTTATCTACATCTACATGCACTTGATACAAACAAAAGAATGGCATTTGTACTGTTTGTTTGGGTTTTTTTAGTTGCATTCTTGGTAGAGAAGCGAGCAGTGAGCCTTAGGTCATAAGGACCCTGCAAAGATTTCAAACTAGAAGTACTTTTCAGTGAGTCTGTGGATCCGAAGTTTCCCAGCTCGCAACTTGACACTAGACAGTATATATAGAAAGATGCTTGAAATCTTCAGTAAGTAAATAGAACCTGAATTTTTAAAGGTATCTGTTTTAGGAATCTCTTTGTGTTTCTGCTTAATATTAATGTATACTGATCATTTAAATATCTACAATTAGCAGTCACCTGACATATGGAAGAGAAATCTCATTATCTGAAGCCTAAGGGACCATGCAAGTGTTTTGGATTAAAAAACAACAACACATTTCTTTTATGAAATAATGCTATAATGCTCTATTCTAGCTCAGGTTTCCTGCTTCACCCACTTCCTCTAAAAGAAACCAATGCTTGGACTAGAACTAATGACAGCTTACCTGACCTATTTTCTAACGTGTTTCTCTGCCAAGAAACCCATCATGAGTGAATTTTTGGTGACAAGGTGATTAGGCTTAACAAGCATTGAGATGAAACATAAGAAGAGAATTTGGCAACAGCGGTTCGATGCCCCGCCTGAGCTGAGCTGCCGGTGAGCTGCTAACAGGTGGCAGGATGGCTCAGCTAAAAAAATAATAATTTGACACAGGACTCAGTAGTTATCTGCTCACAATTATATTATTTTGGGTTCAGCTTCATACATTTCACAAATATCTACCCAGAAGTTATTGTCCATAAACAGAATCAGGATAAGACTTATTTTCAGTCTTCAAGAATTGACTAGATGAGTAAGACAACTACACAAATTTAATACAAAACAAAAGCGTATTAAAATATATTAATGACATAAGAGAGGTTAAAAAGAAAACAAAAAAACAAGCAACCTCAAAGAAATGATCAAACAAACCTGGTTGAGGAAATTTGGAAATGCTTTATGAGGAAGGTAGCTTTCAATAAATGCTCAAAGAGTGAATGAAATGATTTTTTTTCCTTTCATTATAGTTAATTTTTAAAAATTCTTTTTTTGGGCCAGCTGAGTGGTGTGTTGGTTAAGAGCTGGCTTGGGACGTCAGCTCTGAGCAGCAGGGCCCCGGTTCGGATCCCATATGAGGGCCAGTGACACTGCCCTCTACAGATAAGATGATGAACAACAGCTTGACCTGGAGCTGGGCTGCCGTGAGTCTGCGGCGACAGCGTAGGCTGCAGCCCCTGCTGCAGTGGGCTGCCATAAGCTACTGTGAGCAGCCGGCAGCCGGTGGGAGCTTCCAAGAGCCGCTGTGAGTGGCCGTCCAGAGGCCGGTGACAGATCTGCCTCAACTGGGGGGAGCGCAATGATAATACCAACATGGGCCAGTAAAGCAACGTCCTCCACAACTAGAATGAAGAACCAAAGGACAGCAATTTGTCTGTTCCCCTTCCCCTGATTCCCCAGCGCTGTTCCCCTCCCTCAATTCCCCAATAAAATCTTTAAAAAAAAAAATTCTTTTTTTAAAGTTTCACTCACCCCCCCCCACCTCCCCTTTGGCAACCATCTTTGTTCTATATGTATGGGTCTGTTTCAGTTTTGTTTTGTTTATTCTTTTTTTTTTCAGATTCCACATATAAGTGAAATCATATAGCATCTGTTTTTCTTTGTCTGACTTATTTCACTTAGTATAATGCCCTCTAGGTGCATCCATGTTGTCACAATTTCATTCTTTTTATTGCGGAGTACTATTCCAGTGTGTGTGTGTGTGTGTGTGTGTGTGTGTGTGTGTGTGTGTGTGTGTGTGTGTGTACTTCTTTATTCATTCATCTATTGATGAACATCTAAGTTGCTTCCATGTCTTGGCTATTATAAGTAATGCTGCAGTGAACATATACATATATCTTTTTGAATTAGTGTTTTTGTTTTTGTTTCCTTTGTATATATACCCAGAAGTGGAATTGCTGGGTCATGTGGCAGCTCTATTTTTAATTTTTTGAGGAACCTCCGCACTGTTTTCTATAGTGGCTGCACTAATTTACAATCCCATCAACAGTGTACAAGGGTTCCCTTTCCTCCATATCCTCGCCAGCACTTGTTATTTGTTGATTTTTTGGTGATAGCCTTTCTGACAGGTGAGATGATGTCTCATTGTGATTTTGATTTGCATTTCCCTGATAATTAGTAATGCTGAGCACCTTTTCATATATCTGTTGGCCATGGCCATCTGTATGTCCTCTCTGGTGAAATGTCTATTCAGATCCTTTGCCTATTTTTTAATTGGATTGTTGTTTTTTGGTATTAAGTTGTATGAGTTCCTTGTATATTTTGGATATTAACCCCTTATCAGATGTATCATTGGTGAATATCTTCTCCCATTCAGTAAGTTATCTAGACAGGTTTTTTTTCTGATTATGAAGTGTTATGTGATCATTGGGTAGATTTTTTTCTTTTTTAATCCCAAAAGGTATAAGGAAGATAAAAATCACCTGCAATCTTACCACCTAGACATTAAACAGGTTAGTGAGTATAACGTCAGGCAGTCAGGAATTCCCTGGTGACTGAGCAAAGAAACATAAAACACTAGCCATTTCTTACACTAGCCATTTTTTTCAAAGTTATGAGATAACTCCCCTTGTTAGAACATCAATAATACTCTAGGGCAATGAAAACATTTTGGACAACATTACGAAAGGCCTCCCCAAGGCTGAGCAACAGAACAAATCTGATAAACACCTTAACAACAAACACTAATATTCCAGCATTCCCCCTTCCAGGCAGAAAGAAAAGTATAAAACGCAAGCCTTTTACCTTAGCTAGTGGACATCCCATTTTCCGGGTAGCCCTTCCCACTCGGGAGCTGTAACCTTTCTCTTGCTTTAATAAAACTATCCTCTGCTACAAACTTTACCTCTCTGGTCCGTGTCTCCATTCTTCGGCTTCATGAGACCACGACCCCGGCACAAGAAATATTCTACATCAAGATCACCTTCAAGTAATGGATAAATTTCCTTCAATGAAGCTGCTTCATTAAGTCCAGGAGAGAAGCTTTGAAGGTCCAAATTATCGATGAAAAACATCCAGCCTAAGAGAAAGCTTATAAGAGTTTATTTGAGCCAAGCTGTTGACAATTGCTGGGAAACAAAAATCTCAACTGATTGTGAAAATGCTCCGCTAAATGTAAGTTTGCAGTTTATTTTATACATAAAATCAAAGGAGGAAGATTACATGAAATCCATTAGTGATAGATTAAGGGGATGGGAAAAAGCAAAGTGGGGAAGTTTCAGGGATTGGAAAAGTAAATTTCAGAGATAGGTACTTCTTTTACATAGGTGAGTGCAGGATAGTTAACAGTTCACTTTTTACAGCACATAGAAATGGTAATCAGGAGACAAGCATCATAATGAGGGATTTTGCAGTTTCCAGCTCTGGTCCGGAAAAAGGATTACTGACATTCCAAGGATGTCATTTTAGGTGCAAAAAGACAATAGGCCCACTTTAAGGTACAGATTAACTTTATGAAGGAAGCTTTGGCTAAAAATGTGACTTCCCGCCATGGCCCACTTAGTTATGAATTTTTTTTTGCTCACACCATCTTATGTGGTTATTTTCAGTCTCCTGAGCTTGTCAGGTTAATATGTGACCCCTTTTCCATCCACAAATCTATGATAGAGGAAGTAAGGAAAGGAACAGAAAGGATAGATGTGATAGTCTGGTAACAAGCTGAAAGTACAGATTATTAGGACAGGAGGTAGAGAACAGGAGGTCATCTTCATAGATGTTGAATGTTGAAACTGTAGAAATAGATAATTATTGAGTAAGTGCAGAAAACAGAACACCTGGCTATGAAGGCAGCTGTAGGGAAGGGGGGAAATTTCTCCTTTTCCTTCTCAGCTCTCTGGTTAGTCTAAGAATTAAATTGACATGAGACATTAACAGGAGAAAATGAAATGAAAGTTTAGTAACATGTATACCTCCTGTATACACGGGAGAAATCCAGGAGAACTGAGTAACTTGTCAAAATGGTGGAAGTCACCACCTTAAATATCCTCAGCTAAAGATAAAATGTTAGGGATCAGGAGAATCAGTTATGGGAGATTACCAGGAAAAGCACAGTAAACAAGAGTAAGGTTATTCAGATTTGAATCCTAGCCTTCTTCTAGTAATACTTTTCTAGAGATTGAGTACTCTTCCTGGTACACCCTTACAAATGGAGATTTCCCTTACAAATGTAAAAGTTTTTTACAAAGGGTAACTTCTGCTTGGTTTTCAGAGCTTCTCCATTGTCTTCTGTTTCTTAAAAATAACCAGCTTAAAATAATCCTTATGCCAAAGAGACATACTTTCGGGTGACAAATTCTGCTCCTCTACACAGCCCTGGGGAAGACACATTAGGAGAGCAAAAGTGGGAGTACGGTGAAGAAAACGAAGAGGCAAAAGGAGCTTGAGGATAAGATAGGGTCAGAAGTCAAGAGAGGAGAGAATTTCAAGGAGGAATGTGAACCCCGAGAAGATTTAGTTGATGTGAACCCCGAAAAGGAATTTATCTGCTGAGATGGACTCCCTGTGGTTAACTGAGTGCCCCAATTTTATAAATAATAATAGCCTAGTGGCCATTTTTTTTTTAAGATTTTTATTGGGGAATTGGGGGGATGGGAACAGTGCTGGGGAACTGGGGGAAGGCAAACAGATAAGTTGCTGTCGTTATGTTCTTCAGTCTAGTTGTGGAGGACGTTGATTCACTGGCCCAAGTTGGCACCATCATTGCGCTCTTCCCGGGTGAGTCGCTGGCTTCTGGACGGCCGCTCACTGCAGCTGCTGGCCGCTCATGCTGGCTGCTGGCTACGTATGGTAGCCCATGGCAACCCACCGCCACAGGGGCTGCAGCCTATGCCGTCGCCGGCGACTCCCGGCAGCCCAGCTCCAGGTTGAGCTGTTGTTCAGCATCTTAGCTGTGGAGGGCAGTGTCACTGGCCCTCATATGTGGGATCCAAACCGGGGCTCTCTGGCATCCCAAGCCAGTTCTTAACCATCGCGCCACTCGGCCGGCCCGAGTGGCCATTTTTTTGACAGGTGTTTCTCACATATTCTGTATACCAGGAAGAACGCCAGACTGAACTCTAGGCTTCCTTGGCTGAGTCAACAATTATAAAGGAGTTTCTTGTTTCATCTTTCTTCCAATGGACTAAGACCTGCCCCCTCCAATCAAAACTACTCCATAACAACCAATCAAATAACATAATACTGACCAATCAGGACTGCTAAATTTGGACCAATCAGAAATGTAACATTTGGGCACCTTATTTACATAAAACAGACCTAATTGGGAACCTGGGTGGGAACTTTCAAAGGCAGCCTCTCCTTTGTCTCCGTAGAACACAATTTTGGTTGATCCTTGAATCTGTGTCTCCAGGGCTGCAGCTCCTTTTACTCAAATAAATGCTTTTTACTAGTCTAAAATTTAATTTTGGTTTACATGTAGAATCAAGAGTCTAGGGCTCCAGCTATGTGACCTAGGATAAGTTACTTAAAATAGATCCACCTAGGTTTCCTTATCTATAAATGAAAATGGTGATGATGATACCTGCTCTATCCCTACAAGGTTAAGAATAACAAATTAGAAAAGATGTATGAAGGCATACTGTAAACCATAATGAAATATATAATTCTTTATAGAGTTGTGAGGATTAATGTCTGAACACTTAGAACTATTTCTGACACATGATAAATGCTGAAAATGTTGACACATAAAAATACTGGCATATGTAAGCATATATGTTTTAGGTTAATGAATGTGATTTGTTGACATTTTGATAACTGGTGTATTATATTAGCCTGAGATGAGAAACTGCCCATCCCTTCATGGACTGGGGAACAGAATACGGAATGGTCAAATTTAATATCCCTTTCAGGTCCTCTTCAGTTGGGTTCCAAGTACTTCCTTATTCCATAATAATGTTTACAAAACTAAAAGATTTTTAAAATCCTAGGTATTTGAACTACCATAAAGGGTCAATGTTACTAGGTAAACAGTAGATAAGCTGTAGATACTAGACAGGCTGTAAATAAGCTTATTTAACATATGAGAATCCACAAAATGAATTTAAAAATGAAAAGGGCAAATAAGGACAGTAACTGTAAGAGACTGTGTTTTGATATGCTCAATATGCCTCATCTTTAGGATGAGGCATATTGAGCATATTAAAGACTCTGGAGCCACTCAGACCAGGATTAGTATTGACCTCCATAGTGCATAGTTGACCTACACAGCTAATGTAAGAATCCATGCAATTTTTCACTTAACTGAATTTTAACTAGAGTCTGGCACCATACTCGACTCGGAATACAATGGAATGGATAGGGACAGCAATCCTAGCCTGACATTCTGAACAAGTAAATTACAAACTGTGATGCAAATGTGATTCAAGATACTTTATATATGAAATGGCTGGTGCAGTGTCTTGTACATGGTGCTTGTAACATTAATTTTATTCTACTTCTCTTTCCATTCCTCCAACTTTTGTTTGTTCTTCACTGTAGTCCCAGCGACTGCTACCTAGACTGTATTCGACGAATAATCAACAGTGTTACCTAAGTATCAATTACTTATTGTGTGCCAAACACCTGTATTAATTCAATCCTCACAATAACACTTTGAGGTCAGTACTTTAATCATCCCAGCTTTTACAGATGAATAAATTGAAACACAGATTATATAACATGCCTGAAACTGAGGTAAAAAACTAGTGAAGGGGGGGCGGGAACTGGGATTCAGATATATGCAGCTTGAGTCTATACTGCCTCGATGCATTATTAAATTAATAAATCGGTGAATGAGTACACGAAGTTAATAGTAGCATACAACCTACGAGTAAGATTTGCTAAGAATGCTCTTCTTTTCACAAATGACAAAATATTAGTACGCTTAAAGTGAAATTCAAAAATTTCAGCGCTCAACGGAGTAACACGTGGGACCATGGAACAGCAATTAAACAACCGACTCACACGTGGTTTGGACCACGTCACCCGGATCTCGGTACTCTAATCTACCAACTCAAGGACGAAGCTTTTATGGAACACGCTGAGCGAACCCCACCCACGCGGCTCAGACCCCGCGCACAAGGGATCAGATTCAACACCCCGAAAAGGATTCTGGCCGGACGCCCCATCCCGGCATGCACCACAGGCCTGGGCGACCACACCTCCCGGCGAGCGCCCAGGAGCGCGTGTGCGCCCCGCCGCCCGGAAGCACCGCCTGCACGTTGCATGCTGGGAGTTGTAGGTTCCCGGCCCCGGCCCGCGGGCTGCCGTCCGCTTTCTCCATGAGGCTGCTGGCGCTGGCCCGCGCGGCACCGACGCTGGGAGCGCGCTTCGCGCTGACTCAGCGGCGGCGGCGGCGGCGGCGTTAGCCGGGCCCTCACGCTCTTTCCCTTCCTGGGGCGCTGACCCCGCCTGCTTGCTTATGCTAGCTTGCCGGCCCGGCGCCACGCAAGAGAAGGTGCTAGGGGACGCGGAGCGGCGAAAGGCTCTTGGTCCCGGCCAGCTCCGCCTCCGGCGTTAGCGCTGCGGCCGTGGCGGAGACAGACGGCGACAAGGACGAGGGCCGCTCTCCCCGCTCCCAGCGTGCGGCGCCGCTCGGCTGACCGGCTCTCGGGAGTGCAGGCGGGGAGGCGGGATGGAGTGATAGGGAAGGTGACTTGGGGCTTGGGGGCAGCGGGACTGGACCGGGCTCGGTTCGCTGTGGAAGTTGGCTGGGAGGACTGGCGGGGGAGCCCCACGCTGGGGAGGGGTGCGGGCCGGGGGCCCTCCATGGCTGTGTGCCGGGAGGCTGGGCGGACTGGGTGGGGGTGGGTACTAGCTGTGGCCGCCGCCGAGCGCGTCCCGTGTGCGTGGCCGCCGGTTGCCGGGTGTTTCATCACCTAAATTGCCACGAGGCTTCCTTTAGGGGAGGGATCCGGGGGAAGCAAGGCGACAAGGCCGGCGGAGGAGGGTCGGCATCGCGTGTGGCCCCAATTTAGTAAAAGTGGCCAAGCCCATTTGTAGTAGTGGTTGTAGCGAGCGTGTCGCACCAGTTGCAGCTACAGAGGGCTTTAACTTGATTCGCCCCCAAGCCCAGGACAAGAAAGAGCAAAGTATTATTTCTGTGTAGTAATTTGCCAGCAGAGACACGCCATTTCTTCTCGTCCCCTCCTCACAATTCTGCAGGAGTGATATTTCCTGTAACCAGAAAAAAAATACTTTTTGAAAGTGCTAATTAGTTTTTATTGGTGGAAGTTACGTTTTATTAAAGCGACTTGTCAGCGTGGTGTTACGTTAAAAGGCTGGGAAGATTCAGTCCTGGTCTTTGAACAGTCTTCAGTAGTAGGTGTGGAGGAATTTTTCCAAATTGCTTCATTCTTGATTTAATGGCTTAGCCAGGAAAAAGTTAGGGGTTAGAATTTGAAATATGTTGCTCGCCTTCCTCCCAGAACATTTGCTAAATGCGTAATTGAAGTGTTTATCTTGTTGTAACAAATATTTAAACCTGCAGGGCAGTGCCGTATTAGATAGAACATTGTGTGTTCACAACAACACAACCGTTTACAGTGAAAATTGTCACCTTTTCGCACAAGTTGTAACTTCTCAAGTGTTTGTGCACCTGTAGGTAATTTATCTGTTCCACTGCGTAGTGCTTACTGTCCAAGCGCTTTCTCTCTGAAGGATTCTTTCTGAGCTGACAACTGTAACAAGTTTGTTTGCTCAGGTAGTTTTATTTGCCATGTTTTATCTTAGCACCACTTGCTGTTTCCCTTGATAGAATCTAAGTGACTTAAGCTGTTTTCCCTAAAGGCATGCCAAATTCAAGGAGTCTTTTATAGGACTTCTAGAAACCCAATTTGTCTTTTCTTTCTGTGGATGCATTTTTCAGGGGGATTATCATCAAATTTTGTTGTAATTTTTGGCTGGGGGGTGGAGATGGACAGGAACCACTGCCTTTGTGTTTTCCCATCTGTTTAAAATGCCAGTTTACTAGTATGACATGATAAATCTGGAATACTTGAAGTTCCCATCCACTGTGTGCCTAGCTCTGAATTGTAAATAACCTATTGAGGGCCCACTGTGCCAGGCATACCTGATCTCACTGAAGTCTTTACAACATTATAAGGCAGAAGCTCTTTTTCCCATTTTATAGAAAAGACTCTCAGATTTCATAGTTGTTCACATGGCCCCACTTTGAAAATGACAAGATTGGAGTACAAATCCAGGTCTTCCCAAACCCAAAACCTATGTTCTGTTGTATCCTAGAGACATAGTAATGAGTATTCAAGACCTTTAAGGTTAGTGAGAGAAATCTTGGTAAACGGGCAGTGACTATCAGCTCTTAGGGGCATCTAATCCAATTTGAGAGAGTTGGATAATAGGGGTCAAAGAAGCCTTGAAAGAGGTGACCTCTAAGCTGAATTCTGAAGGACAGGCAGGGGTTAACCAAGAAACAAGAAAACAGTGTGGGCAGATGAAAGGCAGAATACCACTGGTCTTGGGTTGGGAGGCAGATGGTGAAGAGTCATTCACAAATGTTTGGATCTTAATCTTGAGGCAGTGGGGAGCTACACTGCTTTGCTGTAGTCTGCAAGTGTGATGGTAACCATAAAACGGGGCTGAGCTTTCTTCTCCAAGGCTCTCAGCACATATCCTGATTTGCCATTTGATTCAGGCAGGCCCAGGGGAAGACAGAAAAGCACCTTTTAGTGGGGGTCCTTTAACCTGGATCTGATCCTGGCCTCACCATTCCAAAAAGGCTGTTCCCTTTACCTCCCAACCCTTTAGTTTGTTGACCCCTTTAGGCTCTTGTCTTTTCTCTGGTTATGATAATTCACACAAACAAAGCCACATAGCCTTTTAATGGGAGTAGTAAGGCCTGGTCTCCCTACCTCACAGGTCTTGAGAGAATAAATGTAATTTTCACATTATTTAGAGTTTGTTCCTTGTTTCTTCCAGTAAAGAACACATTCTTTCAAAAACCGTGTTGCCTCTTGGCGCTTATCATGTTCTGATTTGAGAATATTAAGACACTATATTGTGAAAAAAGTGCATTACTTTAAAGAGACTAAAAAAAAAAAAGCTCTTAAATAAGAATAGTATTAAGGTATTTATCAAATTTTATAACTACTATTAAACAACACTGAAATATAGTTCTAAAATTGGCTGGCAAGAGCAGCGACCTGTAAAAGGTAGAGCTAGCCAATTGTTCGAAAGCTAAATTACTGGTTTTTCACTCTCATACTCTTCCATTTTCATTTGACTTCTCTTGAAGTACTTGTAGGCATTCCAATAAGAATATTGAACTCTGAGGTCACTATTTAGTCAGCCATTCTATTTTTTTTTCTTAAAGTTCGTGATATTGATCAATGGAATTAGGCAAATTATTCGCTAAATCTGGATTTGTCACTTTTTTTCATATTGTTGCATAATTGCACTTTTAAGTACGCACTGGAGGTTGTATGTAAAAACATTGCATAAATTAGATGCTCCCACTATTGGAAGTAGGAAATAATTATTTTCTACACTTTATTGCTGGTCTTGAAGAAGAAGAAAATTTAAGAACCTTAATGGCATTACTTTAGATTTTTAGAAATTACTCATTCATGCAGTACTTAGCAGGTCCATTCTTCTGAGACTTAGATTCCTTTAGTTGTAATTTGAATGGTTTCAAAAGTTCTTTGAACACTTATACTTCTTTGCATAATATTTTCCACTTGTTAGGATATTCTGATTAAGCATCTATTTTGTTTATCAAGCTTGTTTTTTTTCCATTGCATGTGCACTTATGCAGATGTTTGCAGATCCTTCTGTGGGGTCAGAGGGCACGGCTGTTGCCATCAGAAAGCTGCACGCATAGCCACATAGCTGCATAGCTGCTGGGATGGATGAGCAGGCTCTGTTAGGGCTCAGTCCAAATGCCGATTCAGACTTCAGACAAAGGGTAAGTTAAGCTGTCTTAGTGATTTTTAAAGCATGTTACCACAGATTTGCATTAGAGGACTTGAATGAAAAACATATCTGATGACTAAGGTTTAATTTGGGTACACTGAACAGAGTAATCCAATTTGAGGTCTGGATATATTCTGAATACAGAAACAGTGAGGGTTGTGATTTATTTTCTGTTTAGTGGGCTCAACAAAACTTAAAATCTCATGTGATTCAAGGTAGGTCCTTACGTCACATCAATCTTTACAACTATTTTAAAGTTGTAACGCAAAGGATTGTTCATGGGACTTTCCATAGTAGCAGACATGCATATTTTATTTTCCCATTGCATGAGTTGGTCTACACAAGTTGTTTAACCCTTGTATTTGTAGCATTTAGCATCCTTATTACTTAGTCCAGGCAGACATGTAAATAGGCATTTATGAAATGCCATGTCTTAGGTTACTTAAAATCACATGATAAGGAATCCAGTATGAGGTGCTGGGATATTTAGGTAAATATAAACAATTAAACAATGTAGTTTACATCTGTAATCGTGACTGTAGCTGGATGATAAAAGCAGCATCTAAAGAACAAGCCTGTAATTAAATTTTTTAAAGACATGCTGTTTGAAGTATAGGATAAGTGGAAGGAGAAGCATTTTCTCTTTATACTTCTCATAGCAAAGGATATTTTTTATAAATGAGCTAAATGAGGCTAACAGTCTCATTAATACAGCATTTTTTGTTGTGTTTTTTAAGCAGGATTTTTTTTAAAAACAGTAAAAAAAATCTCAAATACTTTGTAACATAGTACCATGCCTCTGCTGTTAAATAAGTAACGAGCCCCAGATACAGGGAAATAACAGGAATTGAGAATTAAATATCTAGCTAATTACAAGATAACCTATCAGACTGGTTAGACATCAGAACACATTAAAATAAAAGTCCATGTCTTCTGTGTGTAGACAAATATTTTTTTTCATAGGAGTTTAAGCTACCTACCTTCAAACCCTTAGTCACGTAGTTGAAGCATCCTAGATCTTTACCTTCAGTCTGGCTTGGTAGTGCTTGGTTATTGTAACTAAAAGCCTTCGACTATTTGTTATTAGATAGCCTTCTCTGTTATTTTTTTATGTTCTCTTTTGGAAATCTTTTATTAAATTCCACTACCTGACAGGTTTTTTAATGTGTCATGATTTTCTTTTTCAGAAAAGTAAAACCAATAAATTTTTAGTGTTTTTTTTTGGGGGGGAAGGGGGTTGGGGGAGGGGAACAGCGCTGGGAAATCAGGGAAGGGGAACAGACAAGCTGCGTCTTTTTGCTCATCAGTCCAGCTGTGGAGGATGTTGCCCCACCGCCCCATGTTGATATTATCATTGCGCTCTTCCCGGGTGAGGCAGTCGCTTGCCGGCCGTGCTGCTCAGGGCGGCCCATGGCAGCTCACGAAAGTGCATGCCAGCTGCCAGCCAGCCCCACTGCAGCCTACGCCCTCGCCAGCAACCCAAGGCAGCCCAGCTCCAGGTCGAACCGTAGTTCACCATCCCAGCTGCAGAGAGTGCAGTGTCACCGGCCCTCACGTGGAATCCGAACCGGGGCTCCGCTGCCCAGAACTGGCGTCCCAAGCCAACCCCCAACCAATGGGCCACTTGGCCAGTCCAAATTTTTAGTGCTTTTAATACAGAAGCTATGTGTTCCATCAATAAAAATGGGTTCTGTAAGTCACAAGCATATGCTAAGCATCCTGGTCCAGGCTTGATTTAATATCCCATTAAGCCAATCTGAATAACAATTAGGATGAAAAAATAGGAATTTTAAGGAAAAGTGAGTTCCGATGGTCCTGATGTTGGAGTTGAGGAGTGGGAACTTAAATTCAGGTTGGTGGTAAGATCAATGACTGCTGCCCCAATTCTCAGTTGTTTGTTTTCTACATGGACAGTAAAAGTAGCTGAACTGACTCTTGCCACTTAGAAACAGTAGACCATTAGAAAGAAGGTATGAAATAGAAGAACAAGATGATAAAAGCTTTGACTTGTTCATCATTGCTAGAAAAAAATTTTTAATGCTAGTAATACATGGATTTAGAGTGCAGACTAGTTAAAAACTGAAAACTTGCAAGCTATTACATCACTTTAGATATAAATAGAATATGTGTCTTTGGATTAAAACTTGCTATTATTTAAAGAAAATGGTATGTCAGTGACAATTTTAGCAGCTGAATTCTCCATCCTCTGTTTTGAAATATTAGGTGGTAATGCAACATACATGATTGACTTCCACCTTATCATCTGTCCTGGCCCCTGCGATATTGCTAAGGAAACCCTAGGCTTCATGGAATATTGTTAAAACAACAACTAGATTCTTTTACAGTTGCTTGGATTCCTGTATTATTATTTTCTAAAGATAGTTATTATTTACACTGTAGATAGTATTTGATGATCTCCATCACTCATCTTTATTTATCTTGTTCTCTGTCAGTGGGAGTAGCCATCAAGACCGTGAGTGAAAACTGTTCCCTCATTCATAGAATTATATAATACAGAAAACTATTACCTAAATTATGGGGGCTTTTTTGCTTTTTTTTAAAATCTCTAACCCAAAGGAAAAAAATAATTTTACGTCTTGACCTAGTATATATGTACATACATAAATATACAAATACATATATATATATATATATGCATATACACACTTATAACTAAAGCAAGTTACACAAAATAATAGTTATTCTTGCTAAGTGCAGTGCACTCTGATATTTTCTATTTTGTTTCGTTGTTTAAAATGCTATTCAAGACCAATAAAATTGATTTCATCACTAATGGGGCACAAACCACATTTTCAAAAAATACTAATTGAAATTAGGTTTCTCTAATGTGTAATAGTCCTTTGCTTCAAGGTTTGTATCAGTATGTAATTGCTTTAAAATCATGTAATAGTGTCTCTGTAATTTTCTTGGTTATTTGAGATACTTTTCACAAGTTGTTGAGATTACTATTTGTCCGTTGTCATATGTGAAACCTGTATCTGTCATTGATGCCAGTTACAACATGCAGATAGAAAAAAGTGGCAGAAGTAACTTCCCACTTTCCCAACAGTGTGCTAAAGAGCATATGCTGCATTCATTCTCAAGTCTACTTGTTCTTATAACAAGGCCCTGAATTCATGAGAAGAGGGCTGAAAAACACATTTCCTAAAGCTTCGACCTTCTTAATTATTTGGTACTTACTCAAAATTCATGTCTTGCAGTTGTACTCTGATTTTAATCTTGCATTTTAGGGAACTTACATGTTATAGTTAAATTGAAATACTCTGTTTAATAGTAGACCAAATGTCATACAGAGTATGTTTTGTCTTTTTTTTTTTTTTAAGATTTTATTGGGGAATTGGGGGAGGAAAACATAGCTCAAGGTGCTGTGTTCAATTAGTGGCGGGTGGGCGTAGCCACCATCCCATGCGGGAGTGGAACCAGCAGCCTTGGTGTTAAGAGCACACTCTCTAGCCTGAGCCACCCGGGCGGCAGCTCAGCTCAAGGTGCCGAGTTCAGTCTTTAGTTGTGGGCGGGCATAACCCACCATCTCGAACAGGCAACCTTGTTAGGAGCACGGGCTCTCACCAACTGAGCCATCCTGCTACCTGTTGGCAGCTCTGCTCGGGCGCAGCTCACTGACTGGCCCAGTTGCTCAAAGGTTGCGCTCTTGAGCAAGTTCTTAATCGCCTGAGCCACTCGGCTGGCCCTGTTTTGCCTTTTATAATCACCTCTTTAATAGCATATTTGCTATTAAATAGGAAGAGTACCCTTTATATACCATTTTATAATTGCATTTGACAATCCCTGTATGTTTCCTCTTTCCATCCTCATAATCCATCCAGTGAGGTCTGAAGGGCCTTACTGTGTTGCCTCTCCTTTGCTGTAAGGAAACAGGTTTCAGTATCTAACTGATGGAATTTGTTTTTTACTTACTCTCTTTTCTAGGGCTAATCACTAAGTTGCACATATTCAGAAGCCTGAATTCAGTGTTTTAGCTATTTTCTTTAGATTCACTGATTTGTTACTGGTTTGCAACTCCCAGAATATTTGTTTAGTATTGGCGGGGCATGGAGATTGACCATTCCAAATGCATTTTCTACTTTGCAATCTCACAGGCCCTGGCCTATTTTGAGCAGTTAAAGATCTCCCCAGATGCCTGGCAGGTGTGTGCAGAAGCTCTGGCACAGAGGACATACAGGTAATTAAAATGTGCATGACTCTTAGAAGAATTTAAATTGTGAACTTCACAGGACTGTTAAATTTACCTGTATTTGAAGAATATTTTCATAAAAAACATTTTATAACTGTGTTTTGGAAAACCATTCAGTGTAGAAATGAGAAAAATTGTAAACTAATAATTGGGCCATTCCAGAATTGACTTTTCAGTAAAACTATCCTCTGCCTTATGCTGTGTACTTGACAGCAGATCCCAGCTGGAATATACTATAGTAAAAACTTTATCTTCTTATGATGTGAGTGATAGTTGGCTTTTTAAAAAGTTGATAAAGGAGGTAATCATAAATTATATATATCTTAATTTTTAATTTTAATTTAAAAATACACATTCAGTTACCAGTGTTGATATTGGACCAAGGTCTTTTTTCTTTGTGTACATGCCACTAGCATTCACTTCATCGTTCTTTTGTTGATCAGACCCATAACCCATTCTCTACAATTTCTGCTTTGGGTCTGTAGTGGATTGAAGAACAATCACAGGTTTCTAAACCCTTTAGTTATTTGCCGGGACCTCTTGCTAGTCTTGGTTCTAGCCCACATCACTATGTACAAGGTTTTCCTCCTGTAGTGTGACTTTCTATGAAGTCCTTCTAAAGCCTTCAACTTAATTTTTACAAAAATAAGAACTCGCATCATACTCATTAGTTTATATAATAGTTAATCAAGTTACTTAATTACAAAAGAGGTACAACTGGCATAGTGAGGCTTGGGGAAACACAACTAATGAGCTGTAAGCAAACAGCTTGCTGGTGGGAGTACAAGTTCCTGGGGGTTAGTGATGGCTCCTAGCGGAGTTCTTGACATTTTTACAGCCAAAACCAAGTGTTCCAGCTTGAGTGGAAAATCCAAGTCTTGTATAATTAGTTAAGGCTTCAGTGTCATCCATGATAAGGATAGAAACCCTACAGTTTTAGAAGAGATGTTAATTAAACCTAACTTTAAAAAAACTTTCAAAAGATTAAGTTTCATCTTACCTGTGAAAATAATTTTGTTCAGTTGATTCATGTTTCTAAATGAAGATAACATCTGTAGTCTTGTATTGACCAGTTAGCTTTATATGTGAAAAATTTGTTCCATGACTAAGCCTGGCTCAAACCAACTGTCTTGGATCAATAGATTGTTGTTCACTAAAGGGACCTTGTCAGAGTTTGTAGCCGACTCCCTGCAACTCTGCATCACCCTTAAAGAGACAGGTGAAAGTGGACAATTGGTGGATACTGATTTTTACTCCCATTTTATAAGGGTAATTTATAACTTTGTTTCCTGTATGAATTTTGAGGCTAGATTGCCATCTCAGGTGACCATGCTTATTTTGGATTTGGCTGTAATAGAACTGTCTGGGGTTGAATTTTAAGTATGACTTTCATGACCATTTCTGATTTAACTCAGTCTCTGGCTGTTCTACCAGTTGTCATTTTTAACATCCAGTCTTTCTATTGTAAAATGTAGGAGTTGTTCCAGGAATCCTAACATCTAGAATTTAGGGAGATAGCCTTCTGTTTGCAAAACACTAAAGGTGCATCTGAAATTTTTTTGTTATTCTGCTTGCCAGATTTAGTTGAAATATTGAATATTGTATAATATTTAAAGTTCTCTTCACTTTGTTAAACAAGTGGATATGAATATGATAAATGAGATCAATAAGTAAAAAGCAAGCCTCAAGGTCTGACTTGAGAAAATTTTCAACTATGTTTATTTATTCATTAATATTTTACCTTTGATTCGTTTTCCCCAATTCATATTCTTCTTATCTAATTTTCCTTTTATTTGTATTTTTCAGTGATGATCACATAAAGTTTTTCTGCTTTCAAGTATTAGAACATCAAGTTAAATACAAGTAAGTCTTTTCTCACTCTTTGATTCTGAGACTTGTGGGAAGAGGCCATATTTTTAAATTAGTTTTTCCCTCTTTGGGGAAACCATAATACAGGTTGTAAATTAGCGGTACATGTCATATTCAGTTTATAGATTTTTTTTTTATTTATCCCAAAGTGTTTTAAAAATACTGAGTTTGTTGGTTGCATATAAAAATCCAACCATTTCACAGAAAAAAAATAGATTTTTAGCTTGCCTGGAAAAATCAGAAGATCTGGCAACACCAAGCCTATATTTCTACATAACAACTAGAGTTGAGTGGCAGCCTGGGCACTTGTATTCAGAACCCCTGCCTTAATCAAAAGCAGTGAATCACTGCTCAGAGGACCCTTAGTTTGCCTATTGATTTATTCTGTAAACCACAGACCTCAAAACATGGACATATTTCCATTTGAAAAATTGTGTAGCTGCCAATTTTTCAACACAAACCAAACTACAAATTAAACTAATATCAATATTGATATCCCACCTGCCACTCCCACCCCTATCTTTTCCTTAAAGCAGTGATGAGAGGCATTATCTATTTTAGGGAGTTTTAGATAATTGAGTGCTATACAGTTTTTCCTTTTCAAATATAAGAGAGGCTCTTTTTAAAACCAGACACCAAATAGAGCCATTTTTCTTCTCTATTCAAACAGATACTCAGAACTCACTACTGTTCAACAACAACTAATAAGGGAGACGCTCGTATCTTGGCTTCAAACTCAGGTAAAATAGTGATTTCATTCAGTACCTCAAATTACCAGATATTTAAATCTTTATTTTTGCAGGAGTTTGCATCTTTACCTCAAAAATGTTGATAATTTATCCTCCATTCGATCCTGTAGCTTTTTTAGAAAGTGCCAGTTTTGAAGATCATGGGTAGATGAAAACTTAGCAATGATTTTAAATTATATCAATAACTGAAATTATCATGCTTTCCATGACACACTGTGGAAACTTTGGTTTTATTTATTTATTAAAAGATTTTCATTGGGGAATTGGGGGAAAGGGAACAGACAAGTTGCTGTTGTTTTGTTCTTCAGTCTAGCTGTGGAGGATGTTGCTTCACTGGCCCAAGTTGGCACCATCATTGCGCTCTTCCTGGACAAGGCAGATCAGTTGCCGGCCTCTGGACAGCCACTCACGCTGGCTGCTGGGTACACACAGTAGCCCATGGCAACCCACTGCAGCAGGGGCTGCAGCCTATGCCGTCACCAGCAACTCAAGGCAGCCCAGCTCCAGGTTGAGCTGTTGTTGAGCATCTTAGCTGTAGAGGGCAGTGTCACTGGCCCTCATAAGTGGGATCCGAACCGGGGTCCCCTGGTGTCCCAAGCCAGCGCTTAACCAATGCGCCACTCGGCCGGCCCTATTTATTTTTTACTACTTGAGAAAAACAGCTTTTCTGTTCACTCTTAAAAGTGAGTCCTCCTGGATAGCCGCTTCAACAAAGAGCCCTTTTTAAAGGAGCCAATAGGATTCTTTATTCAAAGTATATGTTCTTCTTTGTTAATTTTAGCTGATCTTAACGTATGTATAAAGCAGTTGTGTAGCTAGACTTTTTATTTTCCTACAAAGAGCAAGCAGCTAAAAGAAAAACTGTTGAATTTTTTTCTTCTTAGAAAAATGATAGGAGCTGGTAAAACTGCACATGAAATTATTCTCTAAAAGTGTAAGAATGAACAGTAACAGCGCCTTTGTTCATTTGATTATCCCCATCTCAGTCCCTTAAATACTTTGGTAATTTCAAGCATATTTGTTGCACAGCTAATCTAGACCACGTTGAAGTTTGGTGTGTCTTTGCCAATTAATGATAAATAGGAAAACAATGTGTTTGAATCTTTTCAATTTACATTTAATTTCATGGACTGTTTCTCCGTTTGTCAGATGCTGAGTCCCCAACCAGAGAAGACCTTTATACGAAATAAAGCAGCCCAAGTCTTCGCCTTGCTTTTTGTTACAGAGTATCTCACTAAATGGCCCAAGTTTTTTTTTGACATTCTCTCGGTAGTGGACCTCAATCCAAGGGGAGTGGACCTGTACCTCCGAATCCTCATGGCAGTTGATTCAGAGTTGGTGGATCGGGACGTGGTGCATACATCAGAGGCAAGTCACTGCCCAATCGATTTCAGGTTTTAATGTAGATTGTATAGGGGACAATGGGCCCAAAATAAACAGTGTAAGGCTTATTTTATTTTTGATATGAACTTTCTAAGAATAACTACAGATTTACTCAACATTTTGAATTCTGTTTTATGAAGGAACTTAAACTTTGGGGGTTTTTTTCCCCCTAGGTGTAGGTTGAAATTAGAGTATTTAGATTTTTTTAACTAGGTGAGCACTTTCTCCAGTGTAATACACAAATTGATTTTCTCCTATCAATTTGTAGGGAAATTGGTCTGTATTTACTACTGCTATATTGTTGCTGAGTGAGGAAGACGCGTTGCTTCTGAGTCAGTGCTGGGTTCTGTATTCTCAGTCACATAGCCCAGCCCTTTATAGTTCCTAACTATGCAATGTAACCTTCTCCTTGTTCTTAAAGAACACAATAAAAATAGCTTAATTCTCATGTGAAATAATTTTAAGGTCATTGTATAGCAAACATACTTATAAAGGGTATTATGCTTTTAAGTTATTGCCATTCTCTAGTTTAAATATCACGTTTGCCTAATGAGAAATAACTTTTATTACATGCTTAAGATTTCTGAGTAATATTTATTTTTAGTTTGTGTTTAATAAGAAATTAAGTCTGGCACTGAAGGATAGAACAGAAAGGAAATAGAAAGAATCACGGGATATGGTTTTAGAGCTGATAAATAGCAAACAGTGGCAGGGAATGTGTTAACAAGTCTAGAAGTTTAGTGGTGAGGTAATTACTGTGTGCAACTATTCAGATGTCAAACATTATTTTGCGAGGTAATCTACTTAGTGTATAAGGTGTTTTGTTTTGTTTTTTAGGAGGCTCGTAGAAATACTCTGATAAAAGATACTATGAGGGAACAGTGCATTCCAAACTTGGTGGAATCATGGTACCAAATCCTACATAATTATCAGTATACTAATTCAGAAGTGACATGTCAGTGCCTTGAAGTAGTTGGGGCTTATGTCTCTTGGATAGACTTATCCCTTATAGCCAATGATAGGTGAGTATATTTTTAAAATATAAACCTGCAAAATACAGTATGTAAAACTTATGAATTAGAAAATATTATAACAATTATATTCCCCCATTGCTAGGTTTATAAATATGCTGCTAGGTCATATGTCAGTAGAAGTTCTTCGGGAAGAAGCATGTGACTGTTTATTTGAAATTGTAAATAAAGGAATGGATCCTGTCGATAAAATGAAACTAGTAGAATCTTTGTGTCAAGTATTACAGTCTGCTGGGTTTTTCAGCATTGACCAGGTCAGTATATATATAAAGGTTTGAAAATTGTTAGAACAAACTAGCATAGGTAGTAATATAAATATGCTTTCTTTTTTCTTTCATTTTTTCATTTTTTTTTTAATGTTGGAAATGCTCTTTGAGATTATAATAATGAAACACTGTATCCAGAAAGTGATAATGGTATCTGTAGCATTTGCCTTGGACAACAGATTAAATCAGTTCTTAAATTGGAAGATCTGGGATGGTTCCTGCAGTTGTGCATTTTTAACAAACCTCCAGGTGATGCTGATACTACTGAACCATGGACCATACTCTTAAGTAGCAAAGGACTACTATTTACTGACAGTGTGTTTTGACCAAAATTAGACTCAATTATAAAGTTATATTTTGATCATACTTTGAATCGTTAGTCATTTGAGCTGTTAGAATTAACAGAGTAAGGGCTCTGTGTGTTGTAAATTAGTAATTTAGAAACAATTTGAAGGTTTTCATTTTAATTTTACCTGTGACAGACGTAAAGAACTACTAAGAAGTCTTCGTATTGCTGATATGTCAGTAATACTGCTCTAGTGTTTTCCTTGCCAACAGATGAATAGTAGTGTTTTTAGTCCCTGGTAAAAGACCTAAAATGGTGAAGGTAAAACCTCTTTCTATAGAAGAACATCAAAAGGATAATGAATGAAAAAAATGTAAGTTTCAGTTCTGGCTATAACATTGTTATGATCTTAGGCAGGTAATTGTAATAACAGTATCTTCGCAGCATCATTAAGGCTCAAATTAAACAGTATCAGAAAGGACTGTTGTAAATAGTTGCACATATGGTATTGTAACATGACAGCATTAACTTTATTAGAGCATATTTACTAAATTCAACCATTTAGAGGAAGGCTCTCAAACCACACATTTCTGTTTTTATGTTTTTATAAAGTCGGCAGTATCTACAGGACTATAATCACTAAAAATAGTTGCTTTAAAGAGTACTAGTGGATGATAATAGAAGAATTCAAATTCTAAAAATGTCCCAGTGAAAATGGTAGAATTGTAAAATAATGTTAATTTAAAATTGAATCCAATAATTGGCACTTGATTCACACTGAAGTTTAGGATTTCCCTCTTACTCTTAGGTGGGTTTTATTTATTATTACTATTTAAAGATTTTATTGGGGCATTGGGGAGGGGGAACAGTGTTGGGAAATTGGGGAAGAAGAACAGCCAAGTTGTTGTCCTTCAGTCTTAGTTGTGGAGGGTGCAGCTAGCTCAGCTCCCAAGTCTAGTAGCCATCCGGCTACCCGTGGGCAGTTCACAGCTGCTCAGCTCAAGGTGCAGTGTTCAATCTTAGTTGCTGGGCATAGCCCACCATCCCATGCGGGAGTTGAACAGGCAACCTTGTTGTTAGGAGCACGTGCTGTCATCAGCTTAGCCATCCTCAGTGGCAACTCAGCACTGGTGCAGTTCACTGGCCCATGTGGGAATTGAACCGGTGACCCCATTGCTCAGAGTTTGCGCTCTTAACCAATTGAGCCACTCGACCGGCCCTTAGGTGGGTTTTAAATTGAGGCCTGTCTTGATTGCTTTTAGGAAGAAGATGTTGACTTCCTGGCCAGATTTTCTAAACTGGTAAATGGAATGGGCCAGTCCTTGATAGTTAGCTGGACTAAATTAGTTAAGAATGGGGATATCAAGAACGCTCAAGAGGCACTACAAGCTATTGAAACAAAAGTGGCGCTGATGTTGCAGCTGCTAATTCATGAGGATGATGACATCTCTTCTAACATTATTGGATTTTGTTATGATTATCTTCATATTTTGAAACAGGTGAGTCCCTTGTTTTAATCTTTTTGTCCAGTGGATAATATAGAAGAGCCATAGAGAATTGGAAAATAACAGGAAAAATGAAAATGAGAAAATAGCCATATTCTACTACCTAACAATATTTACTGTTAAATATTAATGTATTTTCTTTTTCTTTTGTTTAAACTTTTTAGCCAGAAAACAGAAGTGACCAGGTTCTAACAAGCTTCAGAATTAGTTACAGGTTTAGGTTTTATTTCCATTTTTGAATCTGTGTTTATTTGTAAACACAGTAGAAATTTTGTTAAGCATGATTTATTGTTTTAATTACATGCACATTTAATTTCTTATAAACAATTTTTTACAATTAAAAATTTCCCCCTAGAGACTTGCTTTCAATAAGAACTTAAAATGTAGAAGGTATTAGTCTCCATATTATAGCATGTATCCTTTTAAAGAATTAGTAACTTCTCATTATAACATTAGATGAGAGAACTTCCTATTTTATTTATATTCGATTAGTTGAATGAAGTCAAGCTGAACATAATTTTTTTCCAAACCAAGTTTAGCTTTGTTTGTTATAAACATGACACATATCTGCATGCATACTTTAAGAAATTTTAGGCAATGTAGAAAGGTATGAAGATAGTTAAAATCACTATTGGTAATCCCATTGTGTATCTCATAATAGATTCCTAGGCTTTTGTTGCCTTGTTTAAAAACAAGGTGATATCATACTTTACTATCTAGAACCTGCTTCTTTGCTGACTACATTATAAGTATCTTTAAAAATCAAATTCATCTACATGTTTGTGTACATGTCAAGTTATTTTCTAGAAGTAGAATTGCTAGATGTTAGGTTAGGTATATTTTAGACATAGAAGGGCTGCCAAACAGTCCTCCAAAAAAGCTGTGCGCATGGTTTTAAAGATCTTAGTTGATTGGAAAAGTTTTCTGATAAGCAAATACAACTTTAGGAAACCTAATAAGTTATTGCTTACTTTTTTAACAGCTTACAGTGCTCTCGGATCAGCAAAAAGCTAATGTAGAGGTAATTGATTTCTTTTTGCTTCTTTTAAACCAATAATAGTATCTGTCTCCAATATGCCTTGAAAGATAGCTTAATTTTTAATTTTGAGAAATTAAAGGAGATTGACAAAAGATATTTTATTTTTTTATTTTTTATTTTTATTTATTTATTTTTAATTAGTTTCAGGTGTACAACACAGTGCACTAGTTATACTTTTTACCTCTCAAAGTGACAACCCCCCTCCCAAGATATTTTATTCTTAATTTTAGGCAATCATGTTGGCTGTGATGAAAAAATTGACTTATGATGAAGAATATAACTTTGAAAATGAGGTAAGAATTTTGCATTAAGGAGAAAACAGTTTAATTTTATTGTTGACTTACATCAGATTAATATTTCAAGTTTTGATTATTTTAGAGTCCTTTAAAACAAGAAATATTTAAAACATTAGTCTTACATATATTGACCTCAACCTTAGGTAAAATTGATGGAACCCTCATCATTCTTAATTTTTAGTATTTGGTCCCTTTTTAAAACACTTTGTAGCATCAAACTTCATAAAATATCATTGGTAATCATATCACTTTGTGTTATTATAATAAGAGTGATGAATTGAGGCCTGGTTCTGTAGACCTGCTGACAAATATTGGTGATCATATCTCACTTTGTATTTAATTAGAGTGACAAGTTGAGAGCTGGTCGGTGGACCTGGGATTATAAGTGTCTATGGGAGAGTGGGAATGAGGTATTTAATTGTCTGGACTTGTTCTGGTTAAAAGTTTTGTCCAGGGTTGCAGTGAGTCAGCCTCGCATCAAACACAAGGGTCATCAGGTGCTTTTTAGTAACTAAGTCATGGCATATACTCTTTAGCTGTGTGCTAAAGTGACTCATTCCTTACTTTGAGCATTCAAACACTTTGGACTATGAAAGGATAATGGTGATGATAACCAACACACTGCACTTACAAAGTGCCAGGCTCGTTACATATAACAACTTCAATCATACAACATTATTACAGTTTTTACATTGGACATAGAGATATAGGAATATAAATAAGGTACTAAAGTTCTTGCAAAGCCCAATACGAACCCATTCTGGCTCTAGGCTTTCAAGGTCGAGGGCTATGTTCAGAAATACTTATTGTGAGTAGGAGGGGAAAGGCTAAGCATAGTAGGTTTTCCTATGTAAATATTGATGAAAAAGTAAAAGGATTAAATTTGTAAATGCAGAAAACTAATGACAACTCACGATTTACATGAGTTTTAAAATCTTTTAAGTTTTTAAAATGAGAATTTTAAAATACATAGGGTGAAGATGAAGCCATGTTCGTAGAATATAGGAAACAACTGAAGTTATTGTTGGACAGGCTTGCTCAAGTTTCACCAGAGTTACTGCTGGCTTCTGTTCGCAGAGTTTTTAGTTCTACACTGCAGTAAGTTTGTTACTGTTTTTTGTAACAAGTTACCTCTTTTTTTCTTCTCCCTGATGATGGTCTACAATAAGTGATTCACATGATTTAATAATCAATGTGACTTAGTAAGATCTTAATGTATATCTCTGAAACAATGCATTTGTTTCCTTTATGTATCTCCATCATTGTGGATCTACTTTTTGAAACATAAACAGTAAAATGGATTACATCAGATATTTCCTCTTTTGTGATATAAATTATGTTGCCTGGCAAAATTAATAATTGCTATGACCTTTAATAATTGAAGAGGCTTGTGTTGGTGTCTTTTTACCCTATGCATCACTAATTATATAGAAAGTGTATATTCGGATCTCAGTGACGTATTATACCTTGGTAGGAACTGGCAGACTACACGGTTTATGGAAGTTGAAGTAGCAATAAGATTGCTGTATATGTTGGCAGAAGCTCTTCCAGTATCTCATGGTGCTCACTTCTCAGGTGATGTTTCAAAAGCTAGTGCTTTGCAGGATATGATGCGAACTGTAAGTATACTGAAGATAATTTACTTTGAACATAATTTTCTGTTTTCAGTATAAGCTAATGGGGAGTTCCTTGATAAAGCTTAGTATCTGTTAATACTGGGGCATTTTGATATTGCAATAAATAAGGATAAATTTTTTAACTTTTTCCTGCTCCAGTTGGTAACATCAGGAGTTAGTTCCTATCAGCATACATCTGTGACATTGGAGTTCTTCGAAACTGTTGTTAGATATGAAAAGTTTTTCACAGTTGAACCTCAACACATTCCATGTGTACTAGTAAGTATATATTTTACTCTTAATTTTTTCCCCAAGTATTTCAGCTAATGAGCAGATAGTATTCTACCTTTCTATCTTTTATAACTTTTTTCAGAGCCAAAAGTTCTCAAAAACTCTTGAACACACTGAAACTAACCCCTCCTCCATTTCTTTAAAATGAACCATTTCTGTCTCATCAGTCATCTAAAACAAATCTGCAAGAGCCTGAGCCTATTTGTGTGTTATGTAGGATTACTTTTTTTTTTTTTAAGATTTTATTGGGGAATTGGGGGAGGGGAACACACAAGTTGATGTCCTTTTGTTCTTCAGTCTAGTTGTGGAGGACGTTGCTTCACTGGCCCATGTTGGTATTATCATTGCGCTCTTCCCAGCTGAGGCAGATTAGTCGCCGGCCACTGGACGGCAGCTCTTGGCAGCTCACGCCAGCTGCTGGCTGCTTACAGTAGATACGGGAGCCCACTGCAGCTCCACTGCAGCTTACACTGTCGCTGGCGAATCATGGCAGCCCAGCTCCAGGTTGAGCTGTTGTTCACCATCTTAGCTGTAGAGGGCGCAGCATCACTGGCCCTCGTGGGATCCGAACCGGGGACCTGCTGCTCAGAGCTGGCATCCCAAGCCAACTCTTAACCAATGCGCCACTTGGCTGGCCCAGAATTACTTATTATATATGCCTACTTCCTGCCTTCTATATGCCAAGAAGTAACATTTGATGTGAATAAAAATGTATCATGACAAAGCAGTAAAGTTCTTATGTAAAAGTGCAGAAAGTGAACTTGTCTCTGTTTCTTTAGATGGCTTTCTTAGATCACAGGGGCCTGCGGCATTCTAGTGCAAAAGTGCGGAGCAGAAGCGCTTACCTGTTCTCTAGATTTGTCAAATCTCTCAAGTAAGTACAACATTTCAGCTATTAGGTTTAATTCTTATTTTTAAGATTATTAAATAAGACATGAAGTGTTTTCTAAGAGCCTTTGGTAGATTTGGCTTTTTCTGTTCTAAGGTAGCTTTTAAATCAAGTATTCCTTTTTTGTGTCCTGATGTTAATGTCTTCTTTTTCTTCTTCTTATCCATTTACTTTTTTTATCATTAAAAAGTGATTTGTTTGTATACTTTCATATGTAACCCTAATCACTAATGACATTACATAATTACTTATTTAACAGACAGTTTTATTGCTGTGGATCAGTAGTATATGGCTTCTTTGAAATTCTAAGAATATATTCCTTGGAAATGCATTTTTTAGCCTAATCTGTTTTGTACTGTATTGTTCTTTACTAGTACCAGTTTTTGGTATGAAAACTACTCTTTCTTAGGCTTATAAGGTTGTAATTTTAAAAAAATCATCATTAGTCTTAATCACATGTGACTAGCTTAGAACTGAACTTTTTTTTTAGTTCTGCCTTAAAGGGGGATTTGGTATTTTTAGCAACCTTTCAAGCACTGCTATTTATATGATTTATTGTGATTTTTCTTTTTGCCTTCATTCAGTAAACAAATGAATCCTTTCATTGAAGATATTCTGAATAGAATACAAGATTTATTAGAGCTTTCTCCACCTGTAAGTATCTATTTTTCAAGTTACAAGTTTTCTCCAAATTTTGAGACCATGTAACGCCTTTAGCCTTTCTTGCAAATGCATGCTCATGTGGGCATTTTTTTTTTTAATGGGGGGTGGTGTGTGTGCAAGTTAGTTTTGTTTACCAAAACTGTTGAGATATAGTAAACAAAACAGTAATAGAAATAGAAAGGAATCAAGTGTTGATTGATAAAATTGGCACTGTGAGATACAGTCTATTCTCTCTATACTGTTAAATGTTGGTGAAGTTTTTTATGGAGAAGGAAAAATTCAATTTTCAAAGTCGTCTGTAGTTAGTACTACAGTCATATTATCCATTTTCAGTGACTGCTACTATTAGACTGTAGTTTCTCTGTGTTTAACTTTTTAGGCCAGGAGTAAAAATATTTAAATGCTGGTTGATCTGAATATTTTGGTGTCCATTTCACTATAAAGATTTAAGTTGAGACACTCTAAGCACATTATGACTGATACATGTTTTTGTGTGAAGAAAAATACTAATATTGACTTTTTTTTTCCATTTTGATAAAAGTTATTACTAGAGCTGCCACTTGAAAAGTGTTGAACAAAAAAAATAATACATTATTTCTTTTCAGTAAATAACAGTATTTAGGGTACAGAAGTTATGTAATTATACTGCATGAAAGGTTACTAGTGAATTATATGGTTAAGTTATCTTTGCCTACATACTATAAAAACCTATATGTTGGAGGCCGGCCGAGTGGCTCAGTTGGTTAAGAGTTAGCATAAGAGCACGAGCTCTGAGCAATAGGGCTGCCGGTTTGATTCCCACATGGACCAGTGATGCTGCGCCCGAGCTGAGCTGCCAACAGATAGCAGGATGGCTCAGCTCAGCTGGTGAGAGCACGTGCTCCTTACAAGACTGCCTGTTGGATGGTGGCTACACCCGCCCACAACTAAGACTGAACTCGGCACTCTAAGCTGAGCTGCCTCCCGATGGCTCAGTGGATGGAGCATGCACTCTTAACAAGGCTGCCGGTTCGACTCTCGCATGGGATGATGGCTATGCCCACCCTCAACTAAGACTGAACTCGGCACCTTGAGCTGAGCTGCCGCCCGGCTGGCTCAGTGAATAGAGTGAGTGTGTGCTCTTAGCAACAAGGCTGCCGGATTCGACTCACGCATGGGATGGTGGCTACGCCCACCCGCAACTAAGACTGACCTTGGCAGCTTGAGCTGAGCTGCCGCCCGGATGGCTCAGTGGATAGAGCGTGCGCTCTTAACAAGGCTGCTGGTTCGACTCTGGCATGGAATGGTGGCTAGGCCCACCTGCAACTAAGATTGTAACACAGCACCTTGAGCTTAGAGGCCACAAGCTGCCGAGGGGAAGCCAGATGGCGTACTGGCGCCCTCCACAGCCACAATTAAAGAACAACAACTTGGCTGGTCCTCCTCCCCAATTCCTCAACTCTGTTTCCTTCTCCAATTCCCCCAATAAAATCTTTTTTAAAAAAACCACCTATATGTTAAAGTACTCACCTGGTTAATGCCAATTTTTCTTGTTCACAGTGACCTACTTTTTGAGTACTTTATATTTTATAGCTGCTTTATTTTTGTGTTCTCACCTCCTAGAGCAGTGATTAGTCCTAGTGGTAATTAATAAATGCTTTAGTTACTTCTAAATAGGGACATTTCTTTAAAAGATGAGGAATTCTTTTATAATAAAACCATGACATAACTGTTCTTTAAGACTAGGTTTTTATATAATTCCTTAACAGGGAGCTTTAGTGTTGTACCTAGAACGGCCTCTGATGTTTTCCCCCCTCCTCTTGGCCTGATTGCATAAATGTAAAAAAATTACAAAATGAATAAAAAATGGCCCATATATGGGATGTTTGCATGTGCTTGAATGAGATTTTTTTTTTATTTGCAGTATTATTTTCAAACATTCTAAAGTAACAACTGTTTTGTGTGTGTGTATGTGTCTATTGTATGGTTTTTGTTATTCAATTCATTTTGTTGTTCTTTAACTCTTATTAAACAGTAAAATATTAACTTGTGTGGCCTTTGTACTAACCTTCAAAACACCTTTGTATACCTTATTTTTAGCCTCCTAACAATCTTACAAATAAGAGTTTTACAAAAGAAAGCAAGTTAGAAGGTAACTAATAATTACATGTCCATTTGCAGAGTCTTGTCAAAGGTAGAATTAGACCCATGATCTTTTGATCTCTAATTCAGTTTTCTTTCCATTATATGGTCCTGGAAGAAAATTTGCTTTTACAAGTACTCAGTGTACTTTTTAGTAATGAGTTGATGTGATAGATTCTCTCTCCTCTTCCTTTTGTACTTAATCTGCTTAAATGAGAGGAACTGAATGAAGAAAAACTTCAGTAAGACTAAATTTCATTTTAGGAGAATGGATATCAGTCTTTGTTGAGCAGCGATGATCAACTATTTATTTATGAGACAGCTGGAGTGCTGATTGTTAATAGTGAATATCCAGCAGAACGGAAGCAATCATTAATGAGGAATCTGTTGACTCCCCTAATGGAAAAGTTTAAAATTCTATTAGAAAAATTGATGCTGGCACAAGACGAAGAAAGGCAGTCATCCCTAGCGGACTGTCTCAACCATGCTGTTGGATTTGCCAGGTGAGTGACTGCAGTTAAAATTATAAAGTGAGTGTCTCTACACAAACAGAACAATTCATTTGGTTGGATATTTTAGAATTGGACAGATATACCCTCGTTTTGAAAACTGGATTGTTCAGAGAATTGTCTAAACCTTTCTTTTCTAAATCTAGTGAATTAGAAGATTTAGCTGAAGGAGGGAATTAGATCGCATAACATTTTGCATTTCTGCCTTGACAACTATAAATCCTTAACTCTTTCTTTGGTATAAGTAGATCATGTATTTTAAGGGGATTAGCTAAAGTGTTTATATATCAGTGACATATTGGAACATCTTGGATCAGTCTTGGTACCTTAAAGAGAAGGCCCTGAGGCTGCTTTTTTTTTTTAGCTGTTGCTTTGTGTCCTGAAGACCATCAAAGCTGCTGTTCCTTTTTCTCTAACCCCTACTTTTTATTGGTAAATAACAGCATGAAAGTTGTAGTGATTGCTAACTAGAAGCTAGATAGAGAAATTGCTCTATAAAATACTTGAGTACAAAAGCTAATATTAGGTTGTATGAATAACCTGATTCTAAAGACTGTTTTCTAAATGGGTAGTTTTCAGATTGTCTAGTAGGATACGGTAGTCATAATAAGTGGATTTTTTCCCCTTCTTTTCTGCATACTTTATCAGGATTTTGGTAGAACATTTAGGTGGACTCACAGAGGGATTGTATTAACTACATCTCATTAATTTGAGCCCTTTCTGGAATGGTAACTGGAAGCAATAATTCACAAATAACCATATTAAGTTAAAGGTGGAAGTAATTGTGACATGGAAAATAAAGAATTGTCTTTATCAGTTTTGTAATTTATTGTGCATCATTTTTGATTACTCCACAAAACTTAATGAAGTTTAAAATAGTTGCCTGATTTTGCTTATGTAGTCGAACCAGCAAAGCTTTCAGCAACAAGCAGACTGTGAAACAATGTGGCTGTTCCGAAGTTTATCTGGACTGTTTGCAGACATTCTTGCCAGCCCTCAGTTGTCCCTTACAAAAGGATATTCTCAGAAGTGGAGTTCGCACTTTCCTTCATCGCATGATAATTTGCCTAGAGGAAGAAGTTCTTCCGTTTATCCCATCTGCCTCAGAACACATGCTCAAAGATTGTGAAGCAAAAGACCTCCAGGAGTTCATTCCTCTTATCAACCAGATTACAGCTAAATTTAAGGTACCACACACCTCAGAGCTCTCCTGCCTTAAAGATCTTCGCCTGACTTAAAAGATTAGATGTATTTATCTTGAGATATATCTTGGCATTTGCCCCCTTGGTTTTTCTTTTTTAAATATGAGTTACTTGAGTGCTTGGGTGATATGCATTTTTATCATCCCCAGTGTCTAGCACACTGCCTGACACATAGGACATGCTTAATTATGGTTTTAATAAAAACAGACATTCTCTGCAGTAGCAGAAAACTTAGTCTGCTAATAAAGCAAATAAAAACAGCACTGAGTACTAAATGTCTAAAGAGGTAAATAAAAAGCATTGTATTTTGGGCCTCCACTCAGGAGTTTGAAAGTAATTCAGTGTACTAAAGTCAGTTTTATGTACAAGGAAATTTAAGTCAAGTATAAGCTGGCTAATAAGAATGGCTAACATTTACATAGTGCTTTCTCTGTTCAAAATCTGTTCTAAGCATTTTCTTGTACCTTAATTCATTTGATCCTTGTAACAACTCTGGGAGATCAATGTATTTTATAGATGAAGAAACCGAGACACAGAGAAGTTAAGGAATTTGCCTAACAGCATATAAAGCCTGAGAGCCTGTCATACAAATTCATTTATAATTTAGCAATAGAATTTATTTTTTGAGAATTTAAATTTGAAAATATTCCATGGCAAGATCTGATTATGAAATATTTTTGACTCCCTATTATTTTAACCTGAATCTTCAACTGTAGGAAATGAGTTGAACTTAATGATCTTGAGACTTTCAATAATGTATAGGCTATGTAGATTTTTGTCTTATTGATATTTGCTAACCAAATTATGTAACTATATATCCTAAATGGAAGCTCTGGAGAAAGGCTTTATGTAAAACATGTTTTTTTCTAAGTTTCCTGTATTTGTTTTTTTAATTGAGGTATAATTGATTTGCAATATTAGTTTCAGGTATACAACATAATGATTCAATATTTTGTATATATTGCAAAATGATCACAGTAAGTCTAGTTAACATGCATCACTGTACATAGTTACAGAATTTTTTATTCTTGTGATGAGAACTTGTATGATTTTTACTCTTAGCAACTTTCTAATATGCAATAGAGGATTATCACTAAGTTTCATAATAATTTTCTTACTCATTTCTGAAGTAGTAATAGTTCTTTCTTATCTTCAGATACAGGTATCCCCATTTTTACAACAAATGTTCATGCCTCTTCTTCATGCAATTTTTGAAGTGTTGCTCCGACCAGCAGAAGAAAATGACCAGTCTGCCGCTTTAGAGAAGCAAATGTTGCGGAGGAGTTACTTTGCTTTCCTGCAAACAGTCACAGGCAGTGGAATGAGCGAAGTCATAGCAAGTCAAGGTGGAGATGCATGCGATCCCTAAATTGTCTGCTTAAGTCCTTGTCACAGTTATACAGCTATATGAGCAAGAGCTAGTTGAAGTAAACACTAACCTTTTGGAGTAGTTGTATGTTGGGTCCTAGAATGACAGCTTATTATTATCAAGGTGGGAATTACGTTCATAAAGAGGACCTTACAATTCATTTGTATTCAGTTCCCTTTTCTTTAAGGCAGTTTCTTTAATCGTTTTTTTTTTTTAAGAAATTTTATTGGGGAACAGTGTGTTTTTCCAGGACCCATCAGCTCCAAGTCAAGTAGTTTCAATCTAGTTGTGGAGGGCGTTTTTCCAGGACCCATCACTTCCAAGTCAAGTAGTTGTCTTCAATCTAGTCATGGAGGGTGCAGCTCCGCAGCCCATGTGGGACTTGAACCGGCAATCTTAGTGTTACGAGCCTGCGCTCTAACCACCTGAGCTAACCGGCCAATCCAATCTGTTCTTTAGTTGTATAAATAGTGTGGTGGCTACATGCCAGAATTAACCTGACATTTGAGTCTTACTGACCAATTTGCCATTCTGAAATTAAAAATAAATGGGACTCTATAGATCAACGTAGAAAATTTTGCAATATAGGAAATCCAGAGGGTACGATAACAAAGGAATAGTGATTTTTTAGTGTTTTATGTTTAAAATTAAGGAACCCAGTTAATAAAAATTGAGGGGGGCGGCCGAGTGGTGCGTTGGTTAAGAATTGGCTTGGGACGCCAGCTCTGAACAGCAGGGCCCTGGTTCAGATCCCACATGAGGGCCAGTGACGCTGCGCCCTCTACAGCTAATATGGTGAACAACAGCTCAACCTGGAGCTGGGCTGCCGTGAGTCGCCGGCAACGGCGTAGGCTGCAGTGGGGTTGGCCAACAGCAGGCGTCCAATGGCCGGCGAGTGACTGTCTTACCCGGGAAGAGCGCAATGATAATACCAACATGGGCGAGTGAAGAGTCGTCCTCCACAACTAGACTGAAGAACCAAAGGACAGCAACTTGTCGGTTCCTCTTCCCCAATTCCCCAACGCTATTGCCCTCCCCCAATTCCCCAATAAAATCTTTAAAAAAAAAAAAAAATCTAGGGATCTCATCAACTTTGTAAATGCTGTTGTCTTGTTAATTCACGTGGAATGAGAGCTTTAGGTTGCCTTTCTATTTCTCTTTAGAAATTAAACTCAAGGTTTTTTTCTTTTCAGGTGCAGCGAATGTAGAACGAGTTCTGGTTACTGTTATTCAAGGAGCAGTCGAATATCCAGATCCAATTGCACAAAAAACATGTTTTATCATCCTCTCCAAGTTGGTAGAACTCTGGGGTAAGATGATTTTTTTTTTTTTTTTAAAGTTCATTCCCTAACCTGTTTCCTAAGACTCTTAGGAGATGAAATGGAACTCTAGGCCTAACATAGACAGGAGGTGGGTGTTGCTTTTCCCCAGTGATAAGTTAATTAAATTACTTTTTATACAAGATGAAAATTTGAATTCTCTTGACAGGTGGTAAAGATGGACCAGTGGGATTTGCTGATTTTGTTTATAAGCACATTGTCCCCGCATGTTTCCTAGCACCTTTAAAACAAACCTTTGACCTGGCAGATGCACAGACAGTATTGGTAAGCACCTAGGAATCTTTGTTTACCTTGTGTAGATCTCATGTGTTCTAACTCACGATTTCTTCTTTTATGCCAGGTTGATTGGATTAGGTTTCATTGCTTTAAAAATATTTAATTTCAAATTAGCATTCATTTTTAGCTCCAATTTTTTTTTTTTTTAGCTGAGCCATCCTGCTACCTGTTGGCAGCTAAGTGGCAGCTCAGCTCGGGCCGGGAATCAAACCGCTGTTGCTCAGAGCTCAAACTCTTGAGCAAGCTCTTAACCACCTGAGCCACTTGGCCAGCCCTTAGCATTCATTTTTAAAAGGTTGATTACACCTTCTGAACCTTTGTGGATTGTTACTAAACCTTGGTGCTAAAGTTGAATATATAAAATTCAGTTCCTACAACTTTAACAGCCTAGACCAGCGGTTCTCAACCTTCCTAATGCCGCAACCCCTTAATATAGTTCCTCATGTTGTGGTGACTCCTAACCATAAAATTATTTTCGTTGCTACTCTATAACTGTAATTTTGCTACTGTTATGAATCGTAATGTAAATACCTTTTTGTTTTCCGATGGTCTTAGGCGACCCCTGTGAAAGGGTCGTTCGACCCCCAAAGGGGTCGCGACCCACAGGTTGAGAACCGCTGGCCTAGACTCTTTCTAGGACCACAAAAGGGTACATGATACCCACATTCTTTAAAGTTTAGTTGCGTTATTAGTTTCCTACTACTTTTCATTCTAAGTTCTTAATGGTTTTTCCTAACTATTAAGAGTAACTTTCTCTTTGTATGATAGTTTCCCCAAATCTCATCTTCAGAATACTGAATTTTATGCAGTTGCCTTTTACTCACTTCCCCACAACCTAGTAAAAGTTAGATTTCATAATTATAATTCATTACATTAAGACAGCATTATTGTGTTTTTCATTTTCTGTCGAACCCACTTATTCCTTTCCTTCCTCCATCCCTTTGGAGATTAACGAGCAGTTGCCAGGGAAACAGAGAAAAGTTGGATCAGTAACCAAAAATTGACTATATTAACATTCTTAAATTTATTTTACACAGGCTTTATCTGAGTGTGCAGTGACACTGAAAACAATTCATCTCAAACGGGTAAGCTTTGTACTCTGCACATTCATTTTCATCTCACATGTATATTTGTTATGGTTTTAATTGTGTTTGACTTGTCATTCTTAAAAGTTATATCTTTTATAAAAGTTAATTAACTTCCGTTCTGATTGTTTGGGATTTGAGGGAGTATCAGTATCCATTATTGTCTTTCATGTTTTGGTTAACAAGAAGGTTAAAGTGTTATGTTTTCGTTTGACAAAAAATGTGAAAAATCTTAACCAGAATTTAAAGTTGCAGATCACCATCTAGGAGGCTCTTCAGAGCTAGATTTCTCTAACTTCCTAGTATTACAGTTGTTAAGAGTACTTCATTACTTCAGCAAGTCCTGTTATTTCTTATCCGTGTAATCGTTTGTATAAACCATAAGGGATTCGGGGCTGAATCCAGCTGGTGTGTTTGACTTATACAGTGCTTTTGAATAACTTGAATTGATCGCAACATTTAAAACTTAGTTACTTTTTTTTTTTTTAACAAGAATTCCTATGTCCAACTTCTCTCAAAGCAGGGATGCCAATATAGGATTGGCATTCCCACACAGTGCCTGCAGTCAGCTAACAAGTAATAAGAATCAAAGTAGAGGAGGAAGCATAAAGAAATCCTTTGATTCAAGAGCAATAGTGTTAAAACAGGAAATCAGGTGTTAATTCAGGGAGAAGTGTAATGAGAGATGGATTGATTTTAGTTTGATAACTTACTTTCAGTTGGACACACTTGGAGTCATCAATATATTAAAGTCTTTAAGTCAGATTGAAGTTTAAAATTGAAAATTAGGTGTTTGTTGTTATTTTTGTTCTTGTTTTTTTTTAGCTGAGCCATCCTGCCACCTGTTGGCAGCTCAGCTCGGGCTGGGAATCAAACCAGTGACCCTGTTGCTCAGAGCTCGCACTCTTGAGCAAGATCTTAACCAACTGAGCCACTCGGCCAGCCCTGTTGAGTTTGTTTTTTTAAGATTTTTATTGGGGAATTGGGGGATGGGAACAGAGCTGGGGAATCGGGGAAGGGGAACAGACAAGTTGCTGTCCTTTGGTTCTTCAGTCTAGTTGTGGAGGACGTTGCTTCACTGGCCCAAGTTGGCACCATCATTGCGCTCTTCCCGGGCGAGGCAGATCAGTTGCCGGCTTCTGGACGGCCGCTCACTGCGGCTGCTGGCCGCTCACGCCGGCTGCTGGCTACACACAGTAGCCCATGACAACCCACTGCAGCAGTGGCTGCAGCCTACGCCGTAGCCGGCGACTCACGGCAGCCCAGCTCCAGGTCAAGCTGTTGTTCAGGATCTTAGCTGTAGAGGGCAGTGTCACTGGCCCTCATATGTGGGATCTGAACCAGGGTCCTCTGGCGTCCCAAGCCAGTTCTTAACCAACGCGCCACTTGGCCGGCCCCTGTTTTTTTTTTTTTAAGTATTGGATTGATTAAAATTGCTTGAGGCCACTCAAACATGTTGCTATAGGAAAACCATTTTCAAATCACATTCTAAGTTCCTTTGTAGTTGCTGAGAAAGGGTGGGGGGCTAGGAGTTAGTTTGTGGAATTCTTTTCTCTACACCAAAATTACCCCCCAAAATGCCCCAGAAACCTATTATTACAATTTTCAGCATCTAGAAGAGGGCAATGAAGAGAAATGGCTGTACAAATCGGATGACCTGCATTTAGTACAGATTTAATCCACAGCAGACTGGGCAAGTAATCCTGTCTTTCTGGGTCTCAGTTTCCTCACCTGTCTACTAAATTTCTGTTCCCTGGTTTGTGAACAGAAAAGGGGAAGTGTGCTTTTATTGATGGTATCGCCTAACATATCATTTTGTTCTTTCTTGCTTGTAATTTCTAAAGATGGTCATTACCCCTGAAATCTTCCCCTCATGCACCCACAGACACTCTTTAGTCCACCAGTGGTAGATTGGACAGGAGCACCTCTTTGTTGTCTCGTTTCAGTGCTTGGAAGGCTCTGGCATTGTGACCTCCTGCATGTAGAAGATTTTTTTTTTAATTTGTTTAATCTGTAGCACTACATAACACTAAGTAATGCTAACATGTAGTAAATGCTAAGTACTATTCTAAAGGCTTTACATTTCTTAACTTCCAACCCTCACAATAACGCCACTTTTCAGATGGGGAAACTGAGACTCAGGAATTTAAGTAACTTGCCCCAGGTTAACAGAAATTTGCCAGAGCCAGGCTTCAAAACACAGCAGTCTGGCTCCAGAGTCTGTGTTCTTAATAACAGTACCTTACTGTGTTTAAAGTTTACATATGTGTTCCAGTTTCTTTCTAAGCATTATTAATGTCAAGGAAAAAAATAATTTAGTTCCAGTCGTCTTTTAATTTTCAGGGCCCAGAATGTATTCAGTATCTTCAACAAGAATACCTTCCTTCCTTGCAAGTAGCTCCAGAGATAATTCAGGTAAGAGCTATCCTAGCAGGTTTCTCCCTTAATTTAATTAAAGAAATATAACTGTGTAGTTCAATCTCAGTTTTGATTCAAGAAAGCCAAACTGCATTCAACTTGATGTTTTTCTGTGCATAGGATAGCAAGAGTCCAAACTTCAGGGATTTTTGAAATTGAATGGGAAAAACTGTATTTTTATTTTCACTAGCCTTTAGCTGAAATTTAATTTCCTGTTATTGTGTAGGTGACAAATCATAGTAGTATTTGCATTGCCTCTGACTTTGTCACCAATAGAAATCACAGGCATTTTCGTATCATGTTAGTTGTTCTAGAGATCTCTAAATACTGTTTAAATTCATCAATATTTTGAAATTATGAATTAAGATATGCCAGTAGACTGTTGTCCAAGTCAGTCATATTATTCTACTACATGTTAAATATTTTTTGTAACCATAATTATTAGTTTTCTTTGTAATCCCATGTATTAAAAACATTCTAAAAGGGGGACCATGGCACACAAACCTGTTCTGAAGATTTGTGTCAGGTAGTTCATTTTATATGGGCCAAGCTTAATTTGTAAAACTGAAACTATATTTTGAGGTAAGGGGCTGGAAAGCTACCTCATACTTTCACACTATTGCAGTCATTTTTTTTAATGGCATTTAGTTATTTTCTTGGCATATAGTTATCCAGATTTCTTGTCCATGAGCACATAGATCTAATAAGGTATCAAAGTTTTGATTAAAACTAGAGTTAGAATCTTTTGTGTAGGGTCTAAGAATTATTTCTTTATCAGTAATTTATAATGCTATTTCTTAGGAGGTATTTTAACAAATTGAATGAAAAATAGGATAGATCTCACATAAGAGTAATCATAAAACTCACTTTTAATGAATTTATGGTCTCTTATTTTATGGTCTCTTATTTTATGACACACCATCTTTAACTTTAGATATATTAATGAATTTTCTCAGTTATCGCTTGTTACACAAGCTAATATTTTATCAAAACAATAAATTACTAATTACTCATGTGATCTTAGTGCCCATCAAAAGTGGAAAAATATCATTAGCATTTGAATAGCTAATATTCTCCCAGATTGCTAAGTGAAGCACAGCTATATTTCTGTCTAATAATTTGATTGTAAGGGATAAGGATCCCCAGTTTTCTATTTCTTACATGCCTTCTGACAAGATGTCTTGCAGAATTCTTTTGTAGAGAATTTTCTCTTTTGGTCTGGCTTTGCCCAGTTACCTACTAGGTGAAAACAGCCATAGAGATGTAGTTTTTGTCCCAATCACCCTTCTTAAGCATCAGTCAGTCTTGTCTAGGAGAGCCACATTCTCAGAAGTGAAAGCAGCCTTTCTGACAAGTATTTACATCTGAGAATACCATATAACCTTTGGTGAGGAACTGTTCAGGTTAATTTTATAAGTTGTAAATACTACAGATTTGAAGCAATGCAAATGTCCATTGATGGATAAATGGATAGTAGATGTGGTATATACACACAATGGAATATTATTCAGCATTAAAACAGGGAAACCCTGTCATATGCTACAACTTGGGTGAACCTTGAGTTCTTTATGCTACATGAAATAAGTCAGTCACAAAAAAGACAAATACTGCATGTTCCACTTACATGAAGTATCTAAAGTAGTCGTATTCTTTTTTTTTTTTTTAAGCTGAGCCATCCTGCTACCTTTTGGCAGCTCAGCGGCTGCTCAGCTTGGGCTGGGAATCGAACCGCTGTTGCTCACAGCTCATGCTCTTGAGCGAGCTCTTAACCAACTAAGCCACTCGGCCGGCCCTAAAGTAGTCATACTCTTAACAACAGAGAACAGAATGATGGGGGCTGGGGAGGGGGAGGGGGAGGAGGGTTCAGTGGGTATTTGCAAGATGAAAAAGTCTAGAGGTCTGTTGCACAACAGTGTGCATATAGTTAACACTCCTGTACTGTACACATAAAAATGGTTAAAATGATCAATTTTATGTTTTTTTTATCACAATTTAAAAATAATGCTGTGGGTTTGAATTACGATGAATTTAAATACAAATAGATTCATTCTTTTCTCCTCCCCTCCCGGCCCCCAGGAGTTCTGTCAAGCGCTTCAGCAGCCTGATGCTAAAGTTTTTAAAAACTACTTAAAGGTAGGTATTTGGAAAACTTCTGTATCTTCATATAATTAGGTAATGTTTCATAGCCAAGAGAGAATATATATTGTAGGATACTGTGTCATACTGTAGTTTGACCAACCATTACTTATTTTGGGATCTCTTTGCTCTAAAACCTGCTTCTAAAAATCTGTAGTTATAAGATGTTATACTTCAGAGTCTACTGTGAAACCCCTTTCAACTGAACTTCTATAAACGATCATAGAAAGTTAAGAACACTGAATATGTATATGCCTGAGCATACTGTATGAAAATGCCACTTTTCTTTAGTTTCGTGATGTCATAGGTGCTAGAGCATTGGGAGAACATAAAGTTTAGGAACAGCTGACCATATTGAGTTGAAAGGAAGGAGCTAAAAATATAAAAACAGAAGTAGGAGTTACTTGGTTGTATCCTGTCTTGAAACTTTTGAATTGTAAAATGCACTATAAGTGGAGCCCTCAGATTTGTTCATGAGGGCTCTTTTTACATTCGTAAAATCACTGAATTTAAAAAAAAAACCAAGTTGGCAAGAAGTACCACAAGTTTATTTGGTGTTGATAATTACAATTAAATTCATAAGATGGCACTATGTTGCTTTCACCTAAGTAGTCACTCAGTACTCTGTGACTGCTTTTTATGTAACAGGTACTATGCTAACTGCTGCAAATACCAATATGAGTGGCTTTCTCTGCCCACAAGGAGCTCGTGGTCTGAAAATAAAATTACAGTGTAACAGGATGAGGAAGTGACAGGATGAGGAACTGTTCTTTATTTATTACCTTCATTCAGCAAATTTGAGGGCAAAGCTAAATGTCTTGGTAGCAGGTAACTTAGTGAATGGCTACCTGGTTCTTTTGCCCAAGACATTCAATAGGATTTGTAAGTCAAGGGGCTTTGCTGAGTGAGTAAGTGTACCATCCTTCGACTTTGATTCTGATCTCTTTCCTCGTCAGTTTTCCCCCCAGTAGTATTAGTTTGTGAGCTTAAACTGACAAAAGTTTATGAGAAGAATGCTGAGCATTCTGTTTGTTACTGGGAATCCTCCCATTCCAATTTCTCTATAAAAGCAAAGTGCCTATGCAGTAACCTCTGCTAAATAACTGATCCATCAAATTGGTGTAAAGGACTCAAAGAATTGTAACCCTCTATTAGAGAGCAGATCTGTAACAGCAGATGTAGGTGCCTTGTAGCAGGCTTGTGCTCCAAACATTAATTTATCCAAACAGCACAATAAAAAGTCTTTCTTCCAAGCCAACTTCTATTTAGTGATAGCATTATGTCAATTACAGCATTATGCTTCTAGTTGGAAAAAATGACGTTCCTTCTTTTGTGCCTACTCTTTACATAGCTGATTGATCCTCAGATCTTGCTGATTCTTCCTGTCACTCACTTGCTGTCCCTTCCTTTTTGTCTTTGGTGTAGGCTTGTTATTTCACTCATTTCCTTTCCCTTGTTCTAGCCAAGCAAATCTGTTTGAAAACATTGAACAGTCCTCTGAAATTCATGCCCCTCCCTCATAACCTTTATAAGACTGTTGACTAAAAACAAATTCATGTTTCTCAGTTTGGCATTCAGGGTGTTTTTCATATTCTGACACCTCAGACTCCCTTTCTGGTTTCTCTTGCGGGAATGGTCTTTGCCATTCCTGGTGTTCTTCAGAAATTTTGCCTTATTAGCACCCCTACTCTATGAATTCTACCCATTCTTCTAGGCTTCCCTCAAGCATCGGCCTCCTTGGCTTTCTTTTGCTTATACAGTGATCATTCTTTTCTCTCCACTTAGATTATTTGTTGTTAAATGAATGTCTGATCTAGTGCTAGGGATGCAGTGATCAATATAGCCTTATCTTTAATGAGCTTACTGCCTACCATTCATTCCCTAACTATGGAAGGTAGTGTAGTATGTAATATTGGGCCAGTGCCTAGCGCAGCCTCTAGCCTACTTCCTTGTTCATAGTCTCAAATGTTAAATTGGAAGTATTTTTTTAATAATCAAATAGTAAATTTCTTAAGGGATAACAGCTGCTATCTGTAGCCTTGACTTGTTTGTTTCTTCCTCAGAATTTCTCAGTAATAACTTTGACAATAATGCCATTCAGCAAAAAGTTGTCAAGAACATGTTTTCCTGTGACCACTTGAATCTCATAGCATTAGCAGTAATGCGGTATTTTAACTAGTTTCCCAACTGAGTCATGTCAACATAAGTTATCTCTAGACTTTGTCGAGTTGTGCAGAAGAGAAAGTTCTTGTATTATGTGTGGATTTATGAAGTATTTGATATGTTTTAAATATCTATTGACTTTTACAAAAGAGTGGCTAGCACTTAGTAACTTGGAGTCATTTTTCAAGTGAAAGGTGGTACCTTCGGACATCAGTACTAATTGCACTAATACTTGATTTGCAGGTGTTCTTCCAGAGAGCGAAGCCCTAAGGACTGGATCTCCCCGTGCCTACTTCATGATCAGGAATTCCAGTAAAAAAGAAGCAATTTTGTGTGCCATTCACACTGGTCTTTTTAACTTTGCTTTGAGCTTATTGCAGTATATGTATTGGAATTTTTCTGTAAAATGGGTGTAATTTTCCCTATATACAGGTATGTGACAGCAAGAGAAGTTGCTTGCATGCCAGTTCAAATTGTTCTATGTAAAAATGCTGTTAAAAGATACAGCAGTGTTATCCTAGTACCTTTTTTTTTTTCACTTGAAACTTTAAGTCCTTTATAAAGACCATAGCAGGAAAACTGTACTTCTTTTTAATTGCTGAATATAAAATGTTTGAAAATTTTAATTTTCTTTTATGTGTGCAGACTCAAAAGTATGAGGAGAATACAACAGATCAAAACGAATTTTTTGTAGATAGCCCTTACATTTCTTTAAACTGTTTCGATGCCAATATGTATGCTACAAAGGAGAATGGTTTCATAAATTAACTGATTTAAGAGTAGGTGCCGGTGTTACACCTTTTTTTATAAAAAAAATAAAATAAATTTTACATAGTGAATCGACCAAGTCTTTTTTGGAATTATTATAAATACTTTAGCCTTATTTTCTCATCTCTTCCCTGATTTCCCATTTAAAGGATAGCACATATAAGCCTACATATAATTTATTTAAGTTTGCTCCTAAAAGGTTACATGCAACTTAGTTCTGTTAAATAGAATCTTATAAAAATGCACTAGAAAAAGCCTGCGTGAATCTGTCGATAGAATTAAAAAGTCAATTTTTTTCCTACCTCTTTTATTTGATCTACTTAGGGCACAATATACCTATGTGTTTATGATGCTTATAACTAGTCACTGCCTGTTGCTGGTACCTTCCCCTTCCTTCTCCCATTTTTATTCATGACTGTGCAAGAAAGCAAGAGGATAAACAATAGTATCAGTAGTATTGGAAAATTAAGAAAGGAGGGAGAAAACTGAGTAGAATTACTCTAATCACTTAAATTTAAATTCTAAAAATCTGAGTAAGTTTTTTTTTTGGAGGGGTGGTGTTTTGTTTTACCCTTTGGCCCATATGGTCCCTATGGGTTTCATGGATGGCCTTCAGTATTCTATAAACTCCCTAAAATTGCATTCTAAATAAGTGAAAGCTGAGTGCTTTGTTAAGTTTCCTATACTATGGGAGAGATCATTGCACCTATTGAAATAGTACTAATTGTTCAAAGTATACTAGTGAGTAGCATAGCATAGCAGTTAAGAGCACAGGCTCCAGATCCAGATTAGGTAGGTTCAAATAACAGTTCTGCCAGTAACTGCTTTTGGAACCTTGAGCAAGTTAAATAACTACTCCCTGCACAGTTTCCCCATCTACAGAATGGGAAAAATAATGGTAGCTACCTCATACTAAGAATTTAATAAGTTAAGCATGAAGAGCTTGTTAAAGTACCTGCACATGAAGGCTTGATATGGTTACTGTACTGTTAATTCCACATATGTAAAGGTGACACCTCTTTTCACCTCCTTTCCCCCTGGCTCTTTAAAGCCTTTCAAAATATTCACGTGTTCAGACCTAAGAGAAATCAAAACATGGAAATTAAGAGTCTGTAATAGAAATTAAACTTCATATTATGTAATCATGTATAATAATAATTCTTATCTTCATTCCCTGACGTTGCCCAGAGCACTTTTAGTACCATAGCAATTAGGAAACTCTTCCATCATGAATTACCATATTTGTATTCTACTTAGTTTCCAAAAGCAAGCAATTGTCACAAGGGTGAATCTCACCTATTAACAGGCGAAATAACATTGAGGCAAAAGACAGATTTGTGTGACTTCACTATGGAAACAAGGGTTTTACGATGCCTGGTTTAGTTCTGTGCCTAACAGTTTGTTTAAATCCTAAAATAAATGCTAACAATATTTGGCTCACAAGCAGCTTGACCTTAAGAAGACACTGGTATTTCAATGTGTATCAGTTATAATGTGGTAAATATGTGAATCAAGTCCTTGGGCTCAGCTAATCACTTCTCCCATATAACTGAGCTGTGGGTTTTACTGTTGTAAGCAACTTGGACAGGTCCTGTTGGCGTTAGATAAGGGAGAACTGAAACTGGTTGGAATTGTAAGCAGTGAATAGAATTGTTTGTTGTTGGAATAATTCTGTCACTTAAACATTGTTTAAAAGTCTAATAAAATAACTTCCTTTGTAACAATGCATTACAGTGGGCTTTTGTTATCTCCTTCCTGCTTGAAACAGGTAAACAAAAAACAACAAAAACAAACGTGTTTCAAGTTCAGTACTTGGCAGAGACAGCTGGAACTGTAACCCCAGGTCTGTTCCATTTAAAAGCCTGTGCTCTTAACGACTCTTGTCATGGTTTCCAATTTCATTGCGGGTTGCTGTAACTCTCATTTGGAAAGACCTCTCCTTTCGAGTCCTCCCTCAGAAATTTAGCCCTAGATCGGCAGTAGTCTCTGTAGGGACTCATGCTCAGAAGGCTGCAAATGCTTGTCAGTGGGCAGAAGGGAACACTAGGGAATAGCTGCCTGAGATCTTGGCGGCACGGATATTGCTGATTTTAGTCCTTAAATTCTGCAATATTTCCATTTTCCAAAATACTGTTTAAAAGAGGGAATTGAGTTTATTTACATTAAAACTTACAGGGCTGAATTATTCAGAGGCGATAATCTGGCTCCACTGCAGCCAACGTGGTCTTTAAAACAGAAATCTATCCCTTCAGAATATTTCCCAACGATAGCCCCTGACATGCCCTGCATTCTGCACACTTCGGATGTGAATGTTTGTAATCAAGCGTTCCAGGTCTGTCTGCCCCACTATCGCCACACTCCGCACTCTGCCTCTGGCTCTCCGGGACGGGGCGGGGTTTGCAGTTAAGGGAATCTGAATCCTAGCGCTCACTGCGCTTGGCTCCGTGGCTTCACCCTCGGAAGCGGAGGGGTCAGGCAGAGGGTGTGGACGGGTTCGGACACTAGACACCCCCCCTCCCCAGCATCCCTGCCCCTCACTACAGAGGCTGGGCGAGTCCACCACCGCAGCATCCCAGGCCCGGGACGGACTCGCGAGCGTGCGCACGCGCACCCCTGAGCGCCGGCCGTCGGTCACGTGGCCCCTGGCCGGGGCTTCCGAAGCCGGAAGTGTCCTGAGGCGCAGGGAGGCGCCGAGAGCCAGCTGGCGGTGGCTCGGCGGAGATCGGGCACGGTGAGTGTGGCGGACGCGGGCGTTGGGACCGAAGCTGCGTGGAGCAGGGGCGGCCGTGCCCGGCACGGGCCCGCACGGAGCGCTTCCGCCCCCTGTGGGTAACTGGAATGCTGAGTCAGAGCGGGGGCGGGGCGGGCGACCCAAGAAACCCCTCACAACCCGAGGCCGAGCCTTCCCTGGACTCCTGGCTGGCGGGACACCGCCTCCCGGCGTCTGGGGTGTCCGTAGCCGGGTGGAATGGTCGCGTGGGCCCTGTCCCCTCCATCTCGACTCCCGGCCCTCTGACCGGGGCCCTCTCGGGTCTAGCGACATTGGGCACGAAGAAAGACGATGTGTTGTGACCGATCCTGGGCCCTGGCCGCCCCGGAGAGACGCGATTGCCCCCCTTTCCCCTGGAGTTAGACTGGCCACATGCTACTCTTCTTTCCGAGCGTAGACAAAATTGGCAGTTTTTAATGGGTTGGTTTTTTTTCAGAGGGTTAAAAAGGGACGTTTCATAAAGGTTTTAGTGATGATAACAAGCGGAGGTTGATTCACTGGAAGCTAGAAGCTGGAGACGTCTTTAATATAAATACAACAAGTTCCTAAGCGTTTTCTTCGGGGAAATGGTTTATGTGTTTCAGTTTTCCAGTCTGCTTCCCAGGTATTTTCAGTAGGTGGCCTCAAACCAAGTTCTTCCCAGTAATTGTCAAACGCATAACCAGAGACCTACCTTTTTCACTCTAGAACGCTGAATATAATACCTATTTAACAAGCGATTCACATAGTAGGAGAGTTTGGAAATCCTGAAACTTTGTCCATTTGCCATTTCACCAGACTTGTTTTAATCTATGGACAAATGGTAACTTTCATTTTGGACAGTATAAGGAAGTAGACTTAAGGCAGAGTCACCAATAACATACTTGTCAGTGCTTGCCTTACTGTGTCAAAATTTTGGGAAGATTTATATAGCAAGCCGCTTATGGATGTGCCGTCATGTTTTTAGCATGTTGTTGGGTTACTGGAAGGTAGTTTCAGAAGACATTACCTCTTGATCATTGTGAAACGGTAGTTTTATAATTGCATCTAGAGAACAGATACCTTAGCTGATAAATGTGTCTTATATTGTCCACTAGATACATATAGGTACCTAAGGATACTATTTGCTGTTTATAGTTATCTCAAGCAGCAAAGTTACATGAATTAGGGAAGGGCTTTCATTATAAAAAGATACTTGAAAATATTATTGAGAAGATATTTGAGAAATTTATAATTGTTACCTCAGTAGCTGACAGATGTGTATTCCTTATTTGTGAAAAGGGAACCTTATTTTTATTGCTAATTTCCAATAAATTGCTATATGTAACATTCTTTATCTGAATTAGATGGCTGGTAAAAATTATATAAATATATCTTAGTATATCAAAGATTGATGAAATTTAGATCCCTGGCCATTCTTTAAATTTCTAATCCTACTTGGAATATTGGCACCCATTAGTTGATCACTGAGTACCTACCCAGCTCAAACTTACAATGAAGGACTATTAAGATCTGTTTCGATCCAATAGTATAGCAGGGTTAAGGTGGCTTCGTGAATCTTGTGTTTATGCTGTTTAGCATATCTCGTTTTTGTTCCAACATGGCACTCAAATATTTTTAATATCCTTATAGTTTTATAGCTTTTCAGTATTAAACGACAGTATTAAAAATGGGTTACTCTTTTTCAATATTAAAAAGGGATGGTGTTTTTTCTTTTAATACTTTATTTTTTAGAGCAATTTTATGTTCACAGCAAAATTGAGTGGAAGGAACGGGGATTTTCCATATACCTCTCGAGCCCTCATACATGCACAGCCCCCCTTTGCTTATTTTTTTAAGACTTGGTAATATACACTTCGTATGTCTATATTTATATAGTTGGAGGTTGAAGAAACAATCCTTAATTTCAGAAAAGCTAGTAATCTTGCAGGAATAATCATTTTTCTGCCTTTCTGTTATGACTGTTAGGCTCTGTAGATAAAACTTTTAAGTTATGGGAGTGTTGTGCACTGGCAAAAGTTGTTTCATTAGTGTTGCCCTGCCCTTCGAGGAAACAAAGGAATTTTTGCTATGTTTCTGTTATATTTTACATTATTTATTTTGGAACACTTTAAGTATAATTCATCGATTAATCTTTCAAAACATTTGAAGAAGTGGCCAGCCAATATCACTCTTATTGAGAAAGACAAAATTAGAAGGGAAATAGATGTTGTTTTTTTCAGCCTTTTGATAAGTGAATTAAATTGAATACATAAGATACCATTAGTTAATGTTTTTTTCAGAGCCCACTCAGCATTAGCCTTTAATATTGCTGGGAACTTAGATTTTTACATTGGACTGTTTATATTCTTCAATTTAGCTGGAAATAATGGGTGATCTTACTTGAGACTAAAAATAGCCAACATTTGTTTCTTAAATGTATTAGTTAGTTCCTTAAAACAAACATGCAAATTTTTTCTTTTCTCTTAGTATAGCAAGAGGATTGCCTGACCAAGCCGAGATGCAGAGCACTTCTAATCATCTGTGGCTTTTATCTGATATTTTAGGCCAAGGAGCTACTGCAAATGTCTTTCGTGGAAGACATAAGGTTAGTACAGAGAAAACTGTGAAGGCTTTCTATCACTTTAATATGTACTCTTCTGAGAAGCGCACAGGTACTAAAGTGTGAGGCTTGGTGTTTTTGATTTTACTGTCTCAAGAGAATACCTCTTTTTGTGGTTACTTAAGGCATAGCTTATGTCAAAGGCAGTGATAGCTCCTCAGTGTGGCAGAGGTTATGTGTTGGGAAACGAAGAAAAACTGGAAGTTGGATGAAAAAAGGGATGGGGAAGATGTGTTGTGCCTTTTGGGTTTTCCCCAGCCTCACCCTCCTGTGGTGGTGAGTGATCTCACTAACAGAAGTTCAGTGAGGTAATGATTTGTGGTGGAGGGCAGTTGAGGGAGGCAGATGTATGTATAGTGTGGAGGGAAACCCATGGACGGTTCCAACATTCTGTACTAAGGCTTCATGCTCCCAGTAAAACAGCATCCTACAAGGTAAATTGGAGTAAAATGAGGTTATCAACAAGGGACCTAGGTTTAAAGGCTCTATCTTGGTATGAGGTAATCCGAATTTATTATTGGAAGTGAGAATAAAATAAAAGGGCTAATCCCAGTGGCACTTCAAGAACCAAAAATAGTTTGTGTTGGATTCTATATTGGAGGATAAAATTAAAGATAATTAAAATAATTTAAAATGAAGACATTTAAGATCATTAAAGTTTCTATTCTGGGAAAGAAGCTGAAAAAATAATGGAGTAAAAAAAAATCATCCACTGATTTTTCAGCACTGTGAATTTGTTTTGAGGAAATGATAATTTAGAGTCTCCTAAATTCTTGTTTTCAGAAACAGCTCTGTAAGCATTTTAGTAAGGAGGAGCTTCTTCCTAGTTTCCTGTAGCCTTGAGATTGCCGGTCAGTTCTATCTGTGACAGTGAGATAAACTTTCACAGATGAGGGGCTATTTCCTCTCCTGAGGAAAGAATATGACTAAAAACAGCCTTTGTGGCTCCTAAAGAATGAATCAGAAGTATCATACGGATGCTTTTAACTCTTTTTCCACCAATTCCAGAATTGTCCACATATTCTGGGTTCTTGATAAAATTCATTGTGATCTCTGGATCTTTAATCAAGTTCATTGTGATCAACCTTCCTAGAAATTGTTTTTGTTTTGTGCCCACTGCCAAAAAGAGAAAATGGGTGGTGACACAGGATTTAGCATTAAAAACATCTGAACTGTCTTCCTGTGACCCAAATTAACTGAACAAACTTTAATAAATCACTTGATATGTTTCACACGCTGTGCTGGATCTGGTGAGTATAACTACAAATAATATGCAGTTCCTGTTGACAAAGAGTTTTGCGTTTAGTAGCAAGGTGGCATTGGAAGGGGTGTAAATTGGAAACTGATGGAGTGACAGCTAGTCCGTTGTGATAGAGGCATAGTGCCTAGTGCTAATAAATATTTCATATATTCTGGTCCTCTTTCCTTACTTAAATAAATACTTAGCGTCCTTCATGTAAGTTTCTATACATAGTAGGCATTCTGTAAATGTTTGTTGAATGAATGAGGAGAGATTAGACTAACCTAAGACAACCTGAAGTTCTTCAAAGGAAACAGAAATGTACCTTATCTAATGTAGTTTGAAAGCCTAAAATAAGGATTTGAGAGGCATAAGATTGCTAAGACCCAGTTTAGTATTCAGCCCCTAACAGGCTTCCCAGGGATGTGTTTGGAGAGACCATGCTTGTTCTCAGTGACATCAATTTCAAGGGTTTAGAACTATACTCCCAATTCCTGCTTGCCCTTAATAATTGTTTGAGGATTTTAACCATGCTATTAGCTAAACTCTTATATGTTATTGCTTAGAATGACCAGGTCCCTAAGTTTAGTATTTGTTATTCAAGTTATATTACCTTCTTTTTTTTTTTTTTTTTTTTTTTTTTTTTTTTTTTTTTTNCACCTGTTGGCAGCTCACGGCTGCTCAGCTCGGGCTGACTCGAACCACTGTTGCTCAGAGCTCAAACTCTTGGGCGAGCTCTTAACCAACTGAGCCACTCAGCCGGCCCTATATTACCTTCTTAATCTGTCTCTTTTTCATCTAGTTGCCTTTAGCTACTAACGTGTGTGGATGGGTGTATATGTATGTGATAACCATGGTAAAGAGAGATGTTGGAAGGATGTGATGATCTGCACATGTGTACATAGCAGGTCCTCAAGTAATGTTGTTTTGTTCAATGTCGTTTTGTTATAATGTTCATGAGGTGCTGTAGGAACTTAATTCTTGTTTATATTAATTAGCCTATAGTAAAATTGGTTTTATTATACATCGTTTTATTTAAAGTCACAGAATCTATTGACGATGTTAAATGAGGACTTGCTGTATTTATGTACACATAGATCTCTAAATATTTGTATATGCTTTGACTTAGGGAGAGTGAATGATAAATGTACAGTTGAATAAAGGGAAAATGGCACATTCCCACACATACCCCAGTATCTCACAGGTGTAATGTAGACTACAAAAGGTCTTGATCACATTGTGTACATTCCAACATTGTGTTATGTTCCCTGCTCACACCTCTGTTAGGATTCTCCTAATTTTATTTTATTTTATTTGTTAAGATTTTTATTGGGGAATTGGGGGAGGGGAACAATGTTGGGGAATTGGGGAAGGGGACCGACCAAGTTGTTGTTCTTCAGTCTTAGTTGTGGAGGGCGCCAGTTGCCATCTGGCTGCCCACAGGCAGCTCATGGTCTCTAAGCTCAAGGTGTTGTGTTCAGTCTTAGTTGCGGGTGGGCATAGCCACCGTTCCATGTGGGAGTTGAACCCTGCAGCCTAGTTGTTAAGAGCGTACACTCTATCCACTGAGCTATCCGGGCGGCAGCTCAGCTCAAGGTGCCGAGTTCAGTCTTAGTTGCAGGTGGGCATAGCCCACCATCGAACAGGCAATCTTGTTGTTACAGTAGCTGAGCCATCCTGCCACCTGTTGGCAGCTCAGCAACAGCTCAGCTTGAGCGCAGCGTCACTGGCCCATGTGGGAATTGAACCGGCGGCCCTGTTGCTCAGAGCTCGCGCTCTTAAGCTAACTGTTAACCAACTGAGCCATTCGGCCAGCCCAGGATTCTCCTAATTTTAGACAAATATCCTCAAGAAAAATCTCTCTGTTGGATCGTATGGATTTGGCAGTGTCCTCACACGGGCTGAACAAATGGGAAAATATTGTAATTAACCTGTAGTTCAGTTGTTCAATTTTCATATTGTCTGAAAACAATCAGTGGCCCTTTTCCTCTGGAAAGAATGTATGTATAGTTGGTGTGAGAGGAGGGGAAAAGTGAGGGAGGAGTGATCACATCATATAGATGATGGTCTCCAAATAGTGATTTTGAAGAGTGAAATTGGGAAGCAGTTAAATGGTTTTAAGAAAAATATGAGATTCTGAAGTGAGGGGAGGAGGGTGATGGCTATAAGAGGAGAATCTGTAGAGAGGGCTTCAAAGCAGGAACGGCACAGAGGTCCTGGCAGACAGAGAGCCATGAAATATCTTTAGGCAGAGGGTGCTTGAACTCCAAGGTCAAAGAGGAAATGATCTTCCTACTTGCTCCAGGGTTCAGCCTTGGATTATGAAAAAATTAATGTTGAAGAACTATTCCCTAGCAGACACATTATTGCTGCCAGGGAATAGTTCTTCAACATTAATTGCATTACTTGGAGATTCTTACTAAAAATTTCATATGTGCAATACAGTTTTCAATCTCTTTTCCTGTTTTG